AAAATGAAATCACCCCTGTTCAAAAGTCTGCATATCCTTCATTCTTAAAATTGTGTATTTCCCCATTTAGCATCAATGACAGCATGCAGTCTTTTGTAATAGTTGTCTTTGAGGACCCTAATTCTTGCAGGTGGTATAGCTGCCCATTCGTCTTGGCAAAATGCCAAATCTTTGGTCGTCTTGAATGAACTGCTCATTTGAGATCTCCCCAGAGGTCAGGAGACTGTAATGGCCAATCCAGAACCTTCACCCTTTTCTGCTATAACCACTGGAGGGTCAACTTGACCTTGTACTTAGGGTCGTTGTCATGCTGGAAAGTCCAAGAGCGTCCCATGCGCGGCCTTCGTGCAGAAGAATGCAAATTGTCTGCCAGTATTTTCTGATAACATTCTGCTGCATTCATCTTGCCATCAATTTTCACAAGATTCGCCCAATTTCACCACCCAAAAAACCCATCAGTGAGCCACCACCATGCTTCTCAGTAGGGATGGTATTCATTTCACTAAAGGCCTTGTTGACCCCTCTCCAAACATATGGTTGTGATCATAAATCTCTATTTTGGTCTTGTCACTCGAAATTACAGTGTGCGAGAAGCTGTGAGGCGTGTCAATGTGTTGTCAGACATATTGTAACCCGTCTTTTTTGTGACATTGGCGCAGTTAAGGCTTCTTTCTGGCATTTCAACCATGCTGTTCATTTTTGTTCAAGTATCGTCATATTGTGCTACTTGAAACAATCACATACAAGGTGTATCTAAGTGTATGTATCTGTGTTTCAAGGTGTTTATACATATTTGGTGGCTGTGTGTCTGTGGAAAGGACAGGCATGCGTGGGGGGAGGGGCGCCGTAGCTGGTTGCATGTTGGGATGTCTGATATTGTTAGAGCAAACTGAATATGACTAAGGATACTCTCTGCATGAAATGGGCCATTTCTTTAATTACCTTAAAATGAAATGAAATGATTAGGTGTTTAGCCTATCAGTAGCATCTATGGCCATCAATAAGGTTGAGGGGGCGGGGAGCAGATATAATCCTAGTAGACACAAAATGTTTAAATGTTTCTTCTAACACACTTAATTATTAGTTCTTACCATGTCAATTGTTTTATTACAATAAAAAGTGGGGGGGGAGTCACCACCCTACATTCAACTATCGAACAGTCTCCACTGGCTAGTAGTGTGTCTGTAGGACACAAGCTAATTTTGCATTGTAAAATTAAAATGTAAAATTCACTTAGAATTCTCACTTTATTCAATTCCTGAAAGTGTTTGAAAACTTCCCATCTGGAGAGCTCCATCGGGGAGGTGGTTGAGAAGAATATAGTTTTGGGTTACTTGGAGAAGGGGATACGGTGTCTATAACAGTGGGTAAAACGAGTGAGCAATAACTAAGCTGTGTAATGTGGGTGGGGAGCATATTGCTGCCATATTCTGATTCACAATGAGTGTTGTGCTTGTTTAATGTTTGGAGGTGTGGTTAGGTGTTAAATAAAACCCGTTTGGAGTTGGAAGGGACGCAATGAGTCACTCCCATCTAACAAGATTTGTCTGAGTCCCCCATGGCTCCAGCATGGGGTTTCATAATGATCTTCCAAAGGGAATATAGGCCAATATTATAAATAATAATGTATTTATACGTTACACATAACCGCATATATTGTAATATTCTGCTTTATTTGGAGGTTGAATTCTAAAAAGAGCAAAATCTGTTTCTGACTTCTCATAATTGCAATCTTGCAGTAATTTGGCTGTTTATACGTCCACAATATATTTCTGTCCAGGATCATTTTATTTTACCGAAAAACACAAAATACGTGTTTTTCGTATTTTTCACATGAAACCCAAACTGTGGCTTTTATTTAATTAATTTGAATGAGAATCAGAAATGATTCCAATCTGCTAGAAAAAAGTCACCATTAGAGGGACATTATAGGTGTCTCAAGTCACTTAACCCTGCAGTGGTAATTATATCAGTTTTTAATAACCTGCCATAATTACCTGCCATGGTTAACTCCACCTATAGCGGCTGTCTACCAGATGCCATGCATGAGGACATCCAGCGTCACCCAAACCCCATAGGAAAGCATTATACAATGCTATCTTATGGGGGAAGTCCTAATGCAAGTGCAGCAAGTGACGAGCATGCGCATTAGGTCCTCCCTGCCATGTCAGGAGCGGAGGCAAAGCCTAAACAACTACTAAGGGACATCGGCGCTTAGTAGTTGTTTAGAAGTGGTTTTCAACCAATTCTGCACCCTGGTGGGAGGGTGGGGCTGCTGCAAGCTGGGGGGCACTATAGGGAGCTATAGTGCCAGGAAATTAACTTTATTTTCCTGGCACTATAGTTTCTTTTTAAAGTCTACCATATTTTTTTTTTGTAGATAAATCACTTGAAAAGCTGTTTTTTTTCTTACCAAACTGTTCCTAATGCTGAAATGAACTGAATCGAGGTCAAGGTCCTATAAATGCAATATCATGTATCTACAAGTGTATGGGTGCTGCACTTAAAAAATTATTTTTGTTTCTGTAATTTTCCCACCCATACAATGCACAAGAGACAGAAGATTAGTGAACCTGTTTTTGAATAACACAGGTTTATAAAAGAGTAAGTTAAATGAAATCAGGTCAGAGGCACTCAATTTAATAACCGCTCCACATACACCTGGGCATGTCCTAACCTGTACGGTGATATTGAGACAGCGTACATCGGGCATGCATGTTATGATGTTATATTCATCTCTTGGCACTGAGAGAGTTAAATGTATAGGCATGTCTCATTCAAAGGATGAGGAGCTTCAGATATAGAACTGGGTTTAATTAAAGATGAACTTTCATATTTATCTTATCGAGTGGATTTTTTTGTTTTGGTGCTTAAAGTGTCCCTTTAACTAATGATTAAATTTAAAAAACATATACAAATAAAAAAATGTGAAAACATAAATCAGACAATTAAGAAACGATTTCATGTACATAACAGGCAGGAAAGTGGATTTAACTTTCAAATGTCTGTTCTTTTTTTAATTCCTTCGAAGTATGATGCTTTCACTAATGTGCTTGTTAATATTGCATCAAAGGACCACTCTAGGCACCCAGACCACTTCAGCTCAATGAAGTGGTCTGGGTGCCAGGTCCAGCTACGGTTAACCCTTTTTGCGGTAAACATAGTAGTTTCAGAGAAACTGCTATGTTTACCTATGGGTTAATCCAGCCTCTAGTGGCTGTCTCGTTGACAGCCGCTAGAGGCGCTTCTGCACTTCTCACTGTGATTTTCACAATGAGAAGATGCCAGCGTCCATAGGAAAGTATTGATAATGCTATAGAGCACTATAGTTTCTTTTTAAAGTCTACCATATTTTTTTTTTGTACATAAATCACTTGAAAAGCTATAATGCTTTCCTATGAGACTGGCTGAATGCTTGCGCGGCTCTGGGAGAGTGTTGCCGTGTCAGCCCGCAACAGAGGAGAGGACCTGCTGCTGCTGGAGGTGGAAGATGAGAACCCTGAGCCCCCTCTTCACAATAAACCTTCTATACCACCAGACAGCTTATTGCCCCCATCCACCCCTCCTCCCTCTTCCTGGCCAACGTTAAGAGGCAGGGAGGGGGGAATAAACATAATTTTTTTTTTAAAATGTAAAACTGCTTACCCCTAACATTGCTTATTCAACCCCACAAGCACACTGCATCCACTACACAGACACTCCATCCACTACACATTGCATCCACTACACAAACACTCCATCCACTACACAGAAACTCCATCCACTACACACTGCATCAACTACACAAACACAGACACTGCATCCACCACACAAACACTCCATCCACTACACACTGCATCCATTACACAAACACTGCATTCATTACACAAACAAAGCATCCACTATACATACTGCATCCACTACACAAACACATACTCTGCATCCACTGCACACACTGTATCCATTACACAAACACAGACACTGCACTAACTACACAGACACTCCGTCCATTGTACAAACACAGACACTGCATCCACACACAGACACTGCAATCACTACACAGACACTGCATCAACTACACAGACACTGCATCCACTACACAGATACTGCATTCACTATACACACTGAATCCACTACACAGACTCTGCATCCACTACACAGATACTGCATTCACTATATACAGTGAATCCACTACACAGACTCTGCATCCACTACACAGATTCTGCATTCACTATACACACTGAATTCACTACACAGACTCTGCATCCACTACACAGATTCTGCATTCACTATACACACTGAATTCACTACACAGACTCTGCATCCACTACACAGATTCTGCATTCGCTATACACACTAAATTCACTACACAGACTCTGCATCCACTACACAGATTCTGCATCCACTACACAAACACACACTATGCATACACTATATACACACACTGCATACACTATACACACACACACTGCATCCACTATACACACACACACTGCATTCATTATACGTACACACAAACAATGCATTTACTACACACTCTGTATGCACTACAGCACAGGCACTACATCCACCACACAAACCCACACTCTGTATAGATTATACACACTAACTATGCATTCAATACACACACTGAATGCAATACACACACTGTATCACCTACAAAAACACAGAGACTACACACACTGCATAACATAATGAATGTGGACGTATTTTGGTGAGGGGGCAGCATTTCATCCGTGTACCCAGACAGCACAATGTTATGGGCTGGCCCTGCCTATGTAACTATGTAATTATATTATTGTGGAAAAAAAGAATATGGTAGAAGTCCTTTCTTTGAGATCTTCTAGGAAAATTATCAGTTCTAAAGCTATGGGAAAGGACAATTAAATGGTTAAAAGTAAGAGTCCTATGTCTGTGGGTTGAACCTCTGGAAGAGTAAAGGATGCTGCGGGGCAGATTTTGGTGTGAACCGCTCCTGTGAAGTTTGTGGCACCACCCTGAATTTCATTGAAGCTGATGATCAACAAGACAGGACCAGCAGATCACACCTTGGAGCTCACCGGGATAAGACTTGAATTATTCTCCTGGCATCCTGAAACTAGACTGTCTGAGGATGGAATATAAATTGTACTGGAAATATTCATTATTGCCCATTATTTGTGCGGTCCTAATGCAAGGTGAGGAATTATTTATTTTCACAGCCTGTTATATAAATTATTATTTTCTATTTTCAAGGTTTTTAATTCACTAGACAACAAGTATCTGCAACAAAACAAACTTTGCATAACCGGAGGGGAGTAGGGTCATGTTTAAATGAAAAGCAGTGAATTGGAAACTACTTTGCAAAAATAAAATTGCCACGCTGTGACTCGATTTACAATTGGAGAAAATGTCCATAATCAGCTATTTAAGTTGGTTTTCAATTCACAAAAATGTAGTGTTTAGTAAAACCCACAGTCGAAAAGAACATAGTGGCGCAGTTTGCCTAGAGAACTATTTAATCCAAAATCAAGAATCATTAACGCCAAGAAGGCTACTGAGACGTGTATACTGTGAATTGCGATGAACTGACAAGGGAATTTTTTTTTAAATAGTTGCCTTGGACCAATTCTACAACTCCACTATCTTACCATCTCAGTTATCTGGTGTACATTTTACAAATACATTTGCGGAAATTCTCTTTTACCAGTACGTAAACCCTATGCACGTGTTTTTTTCAGGGTCATTTAAGAAATATTGAGTCGTAGTTACCTAACAATACGCTTGCTTAAAAAACTAACCCAAAAGAGTCACAACAGAATGTTCTCCAGATCAGGCTATGTGTTTTCTCCAAACTGACTGTTTTATTTGTTACAACCCACCACAACGCACTATTTAGTGGGTGGGGATTTAATTTGCGTATAATATGTAAATAATTGTATAAGTATGCATTAGAGTGATAAAATAAGACACGGTACATGCAGCAATTTATGTAGTATTACTTTATTTATTTTTTTAGAATGAAGGTAGTCTTTGATACGACGTGCATCTTATTATATTTCACGTCCAACAAAATATGTGGCTAAGTGTGGTTTTAGTTAATTTTTGCTTTAAAAATAGGGCCGTCGGATAACACTTGGCTTCAAGATGGCGACTTTTACTACTATGTCTTCCAAAGAGCTGGAATTTTAAAGTTTTGACCCGGGGCAGTGATGACTAATAATGCGTCAGAAAGGTGGCTGTGCATTATGGGAAAAGTAGTTTGCAATCATCAGCAGAACCAATGCTGCTGCTATCTGCCAATACCGTAATGTATTCACATTCAGTATTCAGAGTTACTCCGTGACATCATTAGCCACTAAAGCAGCAAAATATAAGAATATAAAATATTCCTAAAGAGCTGCTAGACAATGTTTATGTTTTTGGGTGATTCACAGAGTTAATCACTCAATTCCAAATCTCCCCGTACCAAACTGAGCTGTACGGTGCCATTCGGCATACTGAATCCAGACATTGTTCATACTATTTAACAAGGTTGAGCTTTTGCAGACAAGGCTCCGAATGAGCCTGAATTTGACCTGGACTTTGGCCGGACCAAAGGCTGCTGAACAGCTGAAATTGGCAACTGGATTTTTAAAATCTGGGCCCGGATGCACCAAATCCAGCCTCGGCTTTTAAACATCCAAACTATTTGCAGGCATAACCCATTATAGCATTATGATGTCATATTGATGCAAACCGAGGGTTTAATTCACTAAACAACTAATTGTAGTTGCAACATTGGCAAAATCAGCATGTTTGCCTAAATGAGCAATTTTGTCAATTAAATACAATTTGGTATTTGGTAAATAAACCCCTGAGACTTAAAGGATTTAGTTGTCTGCAAGGAAACAACATTTTTCTTTTAAAGCAGATAGATTTCATAGACTGCCTTGGATTCCATAAAATGAGGAACTCTTCTTTCACAGAACTCTCATTCAGAGAACCACGTTCGTTCGTGATACGGTTTATAGGACGGATCACAAAATCGTAGACTGTTCCTTTCACATTCTTTACACAATTTAACCCATTGGGAACTGCAGAAAAACAGGTCACATTATGCAAAGAGTGTTAAGAGTACTATATTTTTCTGATACTTTACTTCCTAGAGTCCAGTATCAAATTCAGTATCAAAACTAAATCTCCCAACTGTCTGGGTTTTGGCAAGATAGTAACCACATAAAATGTTGTACATCCACCTCTGTACGTTCCCAGAAACCCTTGCTCCATACAAATCTACAAGATGGTTAATTTCTCGTGGAAGTCTAAGGACAATGCTGAACAATAAACCTTTGGGAACTCTCCATTAATTTGAAATAAGAAATAAACCAACACTTGCCTATGGGAATATAAGATACCATCAGCTCCATTTTGACACAGCCCTGTGCTTTTCTGATTACCGGACTTTAAAGATCCTGTATCAAATAGGATTGTCCCATATATATATAACAATGAACGGAGGACCATGTAGAGTAAGTATTTCAAACTCAAAGGCTAGCACGGGCCAAATAAACAAGGTTTACGTTAATGTGGGCCGAAAAAAAATGAAATTTTCATAGAAATGTAAATTTATTTTTTTGAAAAGTAAAGAACAAAAATAAAAAAAACAGCATCCCCTTCTACTAAACCCTAGCACCCTCCTCTACTAAACCCAGCCCCCCTCTACTTAACCCTAGCATCCCCTTCTACTAAACCCTAGCACCCTCCTCTACTAAACCGCAGCCCCCCTCTACTTAGCCTAGTACCCTCTTCTACTAAACACCAGCCCCCCTCTACTAAACCCCAGCCCTCCCTGTACTAAACCCTAGCACCCTCCTCTACTAAACCCAAGCCCCCCGCTACTAAAATACTAAAACCTAGCACCCTTCTCTACTAAACCCCAACCCCCCTCTACTAAACCCTAACACCCTCCACTACTAAACCCCAGTCCCCATCTACTAAATCCCAGCCCCCCTTCTACTAAATCCAAGCCTCCCCTCTACTAAATCCCAGCATACCCCTCTATTAAACCCCTCTATTAAAAATTAGCCAACAAGGAGATTCCACTCACATTGCCGCTGCCAGTATACGACTCCGGAGTCCGGACTCTGGTATACCCTGTGAAGGTGGAGCACGTCGACGTCAAGTCCGAATGGGACGTGGCCAAAGGTGTAACTAGAAACCATGGGGCTCCAATGTGAAAATTGCCCCTGGCCCCCCCATATGTCTCACCCCCCTAGCCCCTTAGCCCCTCCATGTGTCTCATTCACACACCACAGGGTTAGTGTGGCATGGTTGGGGGTTTGAGAATACCAGAATTGGAGCGGTTAATGAGATAGAGTGAATGTGGCAGGGTGAAAGGGGATGAGTGTGGCAGGGTTAAAGGGGGCGAGTGTGACAGAGTGATGGAGAAAGAGTGGGAGTGAGTGTGACAGTGCGAGAGAAGGGGAGTGTAATGGGGTGAATATGACAAAGCAATGGGAGATGAGTATGGTATGGGTGAGTCACAGGATTGGTGGAGTTATTGTGAGTGTGGCAGAGTGAAGGCGGGTGACAGTGGTATGTGGTGGGGTAACAGTTACACAGACAAACCCCTGCATACACTGACACACATGCAGATATACAAACAAACACACAGTGACATACATGCACATACACACTATATAACACATACGGATACATACACGGACACACATGCTGATACACAGGCACACATACACACATGCAAATGCAGACACACAAACTAACACACAGATACATATATACATGCAGACACATATGCAGATACACACACACTTAAGGACAAACATTCAAATACACAGAATGACGCTCATACGGATACAAACAGTAACACACACAGATATACAGATACGCAGACAAACAGACACACATGCAGACACACAGACACACACATACATACATACATACAATCACACAAACACAGACACACACATACAGAGACATACACACATACAGAGACATACACACATACATACAGATACACACACACACATACTGAGGCATACACACATACATACAGAGACACACACACGTACATACAGAGACACACACAAACATTAGTCACCCTTCTGTTTCCTTCCTTTTAGATGCAGGAGGGTGACGTCCCTGGGGTCCAGTGGTGGCTCAGGCTGATGGGAGTTAGACTCTGACTCCCTTCTCTCTTTCCTCCCTTGCGGCGCTCTGTGTAAGCTGGGAGGAGTGACTGGGGCAGTCATTTTCTCCCAGCTCAGTCTGACATCATCACAGGGGGCCTGGTCGTGCTATTAAAGCGCCCCATTGCTGACGGGCCCCCTGGTAATACTTTGCCATCGGGTGGCCCTAACAGCATGGGCCACCCGATGGGCCCCTGAACATGGCAGCGGGCACCCGGTTGCAGGGGTCCATAGGGTGGTAGGCACCTGTAATGTGGGGAGAGCAGGTGCCAACTCTGCCTTAACAGTAAGCACTGCTCTGGGGGCGCCCCTAGATGGGCAGCTGCCCATCACTTGGGCTCCCTGTTACACTCCATCTACTCGCGGCTCGCTGGGCTGCAAAGATATTTATTGTGACCGCGAGTTTGACATGCTTCGTGTAGAACTTAAAAATAAACAGGACATTCCGTACTGCCATTAGGTCTTTAGGGACCACCATGTGATGATTGTATTAAATAGCATGGATCCATAAGAGCTAAGGCTGTGTTTTAATATTACAAAAAAAGTGCTTTAGGATTGCGAAGGTTATTTTTTACGTGATGATGACTATTTCAGTGGCAATAGTTGAGGACACATAGACATCACCGTATAGAAAATGCAAAATACTGAAATAAAATTAGATGTCTTTTTCATATTTAAAGCATGGAGATTGAATATGCCAATGGCATAGTAATAATTGGGGAATTTCCCATTTGCTCTGTAGTGCCATCTCTTTGATAATATAGAGATTAATTTGGCACCAGTGAAGCTAAGCACCCTCCTGAAATATTTATTAAGGGGGGGATTGTTGCACATTAATTGCCCCCTCTGATTTATACTTTAATAGGGGGACAATTGCACAGGTCTCCCCTGTTATAAACATAAAGTAGTATACAGTATGTTAGATTGGGCGGGTTTGTGGATTCCCATGCCCCTTGATATATTATGCCCTACTCAGTCTCCTCCACATAAGGGGTATGAGAAAAGAAGGAAGGCTATCTCATGCTGTATAGTCAAGGACCCAAATGATCCCTGGTTAAATTTATTTTTGTGCTTACGTAAATGGCCATTGTACCAGTTTGTCAGGTAAAAACAACCACTAATTTTTTGTGTTAATTTATATAAAATGTTAAATTTTTTTAACTGTTACCACTTTTTAATTTGTTTTTATTCAAGTCGCGACATCACATGTATCCGACCTGAGAGCTGGGTCGAAGTCAAGGTTTTGTGGACCATATTTGCATTGACTTTCCCACTGATAAAACTTTATGATTATTGTATTTATCATGAAAAACCAAAGTAGTTTTGAGATAAAGCGCTATTTTTAAAACTTAACGTCCATTTATAACGCTGATTGATTGCCCTCCGGTTTGAGCTGCTTGGTGCCCTGAGTATTGTATGGACAGTGGTTGATCTGTTTGGAGTGTAGGCAGCAGTATATGTACTCAATATAGGAGGCCACGCACATGTATATCATCAAGATAGGAAATAAAACCCCAAATATCTTTAAGACTAATACAGGGTGTCTTTACCATTATTTAAAGCAACCTGTACTAAAGTATCAATCAAAGCTTATTTTTTATAAGTAGGCGGAAGGCTCACCATCCAATTGACCTATCACAGGTATACCAGAGTACAGCAATTTGTCAGACGTATGTAGAAAAATAAATAATAAAAGGAAAAAAAATAAAACTAAACAATACATATAACAAGACCTTTTGGGTCTCTGCAAAGTATAGTTAATTACTGTGTATTCTACGTGTTCTATGATTATATGAAAATGTTTGTGATGTCTGGAAGATCCTTGAAGTCTACTTTTACTTTTTTTTGTAGGGACGTGCGTTGAGTCTTTGGAATGCTATTCCTGCCAGGATATGGGTAATGGAAACTGCTCAGACAAAAACGTTTCAAAGGTCCTCTGCGGTCCAGACCAGAATGTGTGCATCGAGACCGTCACGGCTTTGGAAACAAGTATGTGTGGGGTAAAGGAGGTGAACAATGACACGTTCACGTTAATGGAGTGTGAACCCCGTGATTTGGCACTTACAGTTTGAAAAGATTTTTAAAAGTCTGTGGTTTGAGAGACAAACAAATATCCTTCTAGATCACCAACCAGTGAATCAATACATAAAAGGGCAATACAATGCTTCTCATGGAGGAGAACTGGGCACCTGATGGAAATGCTCACCAAAGAATGCTTCCCTATGGGAGGGCTTCCGCTTGTGGCCAAGTTTTTCTTGGTCCATACAGTGAAACCGCCTCCAGTGTCTTTAAGTACAAAAGCCACTGGAAATGTGCTTAAACCTTCAAGGTAAACATTGTTTTTTCTGAAAAACAGCAATGTTTTACCTTGAATGGCTAAATTGACAGGACCACTGCATCCAGACCACTTCATTGAGTAGTTGTATAATGGCTTAAAAGTATTTTAGGCATTATGTCAAGAATAAACATTGCCAAATAATATGGAGTGATGGGGTATGGAGTGATACTGCAGGAAAACATGGAAAACATGCTTCATTCAGAAAATCTGATTTTTTTTTTTTGTTAGTGTATATCTAAAAACAGTTTGCAAAAGCTGCAGCTCTCTTGTCTACAGCCTTGGCTAGCCTTCCCCTTCTAGCTCCACCCATACCTTTGTGGCTGTCCAATCACAGGCTTCCCAATGCAGCTCCATGAGAATGCTTTTGTTCTGGGCAATTGTTACCTCTTGAGTTTAGCTCCACTGAGCTAAACAACCAGGAAGTAACAGGACTGTTTTTCTGACTGACAGCCGGGGAGGTGGAGCAAGATTAATTTCGATTGAAAGCTACACTTTTTGTAAAATGAAAAAAAAAAAAGAGGACACACTCTTCACACATAAAGCACTTCAATAGGCTAAAGTGTTTTAGGATGTGTGGTGTGTCTCTTTAAGCCCTGCTCTCAAACTCCAACTACTTGTTGGCAACAGTGGCTAAAATAAACAGGAAAAAAAGCAACAACAAAAAAAGGTATCTGTGCACTATCCAAATTCCTAATCACATTTAAATAAGAGCAGTTCACCTTGCTATTGTTAATGTAGAATTCACCTAAGTGGTTTGGCTTGATGGACGAGGTGTACTCGTCCCTTGACGGCCATTGCAGAGGTATTACAAACCTCCTGTTATTTTGATATAAAAAAAGGGCTTAAGAAGGAATTACCTTTAATAATTGTAATAGTCATTTACAATGATCTAAAGTGGTTATGGTGCCTAGAGTGTCCCATTAAGTGTAAAGAAAATCCCAACAACATTTAGCCAGAGTTTGTTAAATAAATTAATTATAGTAAAAAAAGAAGAAACCATAAGAGATGGGCTTTAGAAGCTGTTTGACACTATTTTCCAAACTTTCCCTTTTCTAACAGGTCACGACCAGTCCACGATGCTACAGAAAGGTTGTGGAACCGGCTTACCAGGAAGAGTAGATAAAGCTGAGTACTTCCATGGAATGATAATGTACATAATGCTGATACAGTGTAACACCAGCCTCTGCAACACGGAACTGCACGCGAAGACCTATCTTCTATTACCCCCTGGTAATAACATATCCATAAACTCATGGAATTCCATGGAATTCCAAAATAGCTGAAGTCAGCTATCTTTCAAGTTTGGCTACCTTAGTCTAATATTGAAATTCACTTTGAATTCTAACTTTAGTGAATAACACTGAATATGTTGACAAAAAAGCTAAGAGTTTGCAAACTCTACTCATACTAAACAGGTATTAGATATAAATATACACTATGGACTAAAGTACTGGGACACCTGACCATTGCCCCAGCAGGGACTTTTATGATATTGCATTCTAAATTTGCAGCTATAGCAGCTTCCACTCTTCTGGTAAGGATTTCCACAAGATTTTGGAGAGTGAATCTTTGCCCATTCATCCAATACAGCAGGGGTGGGGAAACTTTGGCCCTCCAGATCTTTTGGACTACACCTCCCTTGATGCTTTGCCAGCATTATGGCTTAAAAGCATTATGGGAGATGTAGTCCAAAATATCTGGAGGGTTCCCACCCCTGCAGTAGAGCATTTGTGAGATCAGGCACTGATGTTGGATGAGAAGGCATGGCTTGCAGTCTCCATTGCAGTTCATCCCAATGGTTTTCGATGGGGTTGAGGCCAGGGCTCTGTCAGGGCCAGCCAAGTTCTTCCACACCAAACCATGTCTTTATGGACCTTGTTTTGTGCACTGGGGCATTGGAAGTAAGGGGCCTAGCCAAACCCCTCAAAAAGAGCCTCCTACCCTTACTTCACCTCCTCCACCAATCTTTAAAGTTGCTCTCTTGGCATCCAGTCAACTCAAACTGGCCCATCAGACTGCTAAATAGAGAAGCTTGATTCATCACTCCACAGAATACATTTCCATTGCTCCATAGTCCTGTAGCAGAGTGCTTTACACCACTCAACCTGACACTTGGCATTGTACTGGGTGATGTGAAGCTGGCATGCAAGTGCTTGGCTACAGAAACCCATTCCATTAAGCTTCTGAGCTCCCATCACACTGTTTGTGTGCTGATATTAATGCCAGTGGAAGTTTGTAAATCTTCAGCTATGGAATCAGCAGAGTGTTGGCGGCATTTATGCACCTCACTTGGTGATCCCGATCTGTGACTTTACAAGATCTTCTACTTCGTGGATGAGTTGCTGCTGTTCCTAAATGCTTCCACTTTCCAATAATACCACTTACAGTTGACCATGGAATATCTAGCAGGGATGAAATTTCACAAGCTGACTTATTGCAAAGTTGGCATCCTATCACAGTACCACGGATGAATTCACTGAGCTCTTCAGAACGACCCATTTCTTTCTCAAATGTTTGTTATTGCAGCCTGCATGGCTCGGTGCTTGATTTTATAAACCTGTGGCAATAAGTCTGATTAAAACCTGCATTCAATAATTAGGAGATATGTCCCAATACCTTTGTCCATATAGTGTATATCAAGAGCTCCTTTGGTGAGGAACAGGAAGTTATGTCCAAAAATACCACCCCAAAGTTACAGGGGTTGAAGTTAGAGACAATTTGGTTTTAAGAAAGGATTTAAAAACTGAGAGAAGATAGATGATTGAATTAGTTAATGTGTGCTATGAGTCATAATTCCTTACTTCACCAAAATCTTTGAGGAAGAGTAGTTCAAACTAAAAGCTTGACGTTATTAAAAAAAGAATAAGATTTCCTAGTTCATTATTGGTTATACAAAGCACGCTCTTCCAACCCACCCCTGACTCTATGACTCAACTCAATGATAAATGCCCATCACAGTCCACTTACTACTGTTTTAGGGATTTAATTCTAAAGTCACAATGAGCCTAAACAAAAATAAATAAATAAATAAACCCATTGTGAACTAGGAGTAGGTCATCCACTAATCTCTTTCTCTCATAATTAGTTGGAATTTAGGGTAATCAATAGGGTAATCCATGAACTTCAGATCTATTGGTCCCAGCTTACCAAGGGAGTACAGAATTCACATTGTTACTTCTATGATATATTTAATGACTTTTCTTACTTATTCTGTTTCAGAAAATACAGATCGTCAGCTTAACGAAGTGGAATGTTACAGCTGTATTGGAAAAACTCCAGATCAATGTACGTCGTCCAATGCCCCTGTCAAACAATGCTTCCAGCCACTTCATCACTGCTTCGATGGCAACGTTACAGTGACACAAGGTAAATATCGCTTCCCTCACACCGATATATATTGAAGAATTCCAAATCAAGAATACAATGTTATCGTTTCCCAGCATTATATTAAATCTAATTTGTTTTAAATCTAAAATATGCAGATTGGCAAAGAGGTGAATACATTTAAAAAAAAAAATAACAAATTTACTTCCAAACCAGTTTAAACACAACTGGCAGAAATCTGTTCATAGATCCCAACCACATGTACAGTGTTATTTAATAAAGTGTAAATGGTTGAAAATTCGAATTGAACTGGAAGTGAACTTGACATTTTAGTCCAAAGCAAGTCAGCTCATGTTATCATTTATCTAATGTGGCTTAAAATATGAATTAACCTTTAATTCCTGGCAGTTCACACTTTAGTTAATAATCCTGATAAAGTTTGGTTTGTTTTTAGCTTGACTTCTTATCGGGGTGCCGCTTCCTTCCTTTTTTCTGCAGCCAGTGGCAAGAGTTTAGGGGCTCTGCTAAACTAAGCACTAGCTCGTTGGCTAAAAGTGTTGGCCAACGAGCTAAGTATTGCACTGTCATGCATATCTCAGACAGGGAGTTTCTGGAGCTCTGAAGATTGTAGTGGAGATGGGGAGCTGCTCCTGGGGACCCTATGTAAGAAATCAAGCAGTACTCAAGTAGCTTGACTACTTATATGGGAGGAGAAGGGCTGCATCAGTGCACTCCTGGTACCATAACCAATACAGCACTCTGTAAGATGCTAACAATGTGCTAGGAATGGGTGGGATAAATCTCTGTTACGGAGTTACTAAAGAAAATACTGCAAATATGAATAATAGTAATGAAAAAATAAGTTGATCATTCACTTTCCGCTAATGTTGCTACAAATGATAAAGTTTCACTTTTCAGTAGAAGTAGTTGCCACACCTTGACCTGGACACCTGCTGAGAAATTAACGTTGAGAAAATCATTCTGCTATTCTTTGGAGATGAATTAATGTATCTCATTGTTTTTAGGAAATACCTCAGCTGTTATACCCATCAAGAGCTGCTCCGAAAGACATACCTGTGCCATGCGAACTCTAACATTTGGTTCTTCAACGTTTGAGATTAAAGGTGCGTGCTGTATAGGAAACATTTGCAACAAGGACCTCTCGAACAAGACCCAGTATGTGGAACTGCCACCTCTGGTACTGATACCTCCTTCTAATGAGTCACCAACTACTCCTGCCATTCCTACCTGGGGGAGAACCACGAAGGAACAACCACACACAAATGAAACCACTCAAACACTCAAAGAAGCTAACATTACGGTCGGCTCGGACACTACGTCTCTAAAAGCCGCCATGAAACATGAAGATGATCAACAACCAAGCAAAGCTTCCCAATCACAAATCTCTCTTTGGCTTGTCTTCTTGAACTTAGTTCTGTTCAAATTCTGATGTTTTGTCTAGCCATTAAAATAATGATCATGGATTATTTGTCCTTTTATAAAAATGTACTTTTTATGAGGATAGGACATTTTGCTTTAAGGCATATGGAAAATATTGATCTCTTAAGATTTGATTTAGTCAATGACTACCTACAACAATATATAAATATTTCTTGTTCGGCAGATATACACAATTTTTGTACCAAGTACAGAAACTAGAATAAAATTAATGTCAAAAATAAATATCTAAGCATTTCTAAACTTTCATCACTTAATGTTCCCTTAAAGTTGTTCACTGTTCAATCTGTATTTTTTTTTGTTTTGTTGCCTTATAATCTAAACCAAAATCTTGATGAAAATAACTTATCTTCTCCTTTGCTCCAGTGTTGCTACTCACTCGGCATGAAAAAAAAAATCTTTGCTTGCTTGGACAATACCCAGTCTCTTTGCATTCATCTGAATGTGTAATTCCCAACATGTTATATAGAAGCTCAAAATGCTCAAAATATAAAGTCCTGCATTTTAGCAACTTGGGGAAGGGCGGGGGGAGGTGAGGTAGAGAAGGTTCTGACCATTCAAAAGGGTATATTTTCACCCTGGAATACCTTGCATAGTGCAGATGACTGATGTTAGCAAGGCAGCTGTACTAGAATAAAATGTATAGCACTGCTGACTGGCGTTAGCAAGGCAACTGTACTTACTGCAGTGGCATTATGCTCGCATACAGACATTCTTTTAACATTCTGGTGGAATTTTGTGTTGCTTATTCCTCATAAAAAGTCACCAGATTTCTTACAAATTATTTGTATGCATAGTATTAGTTAATTTTATGTATTTTTGTTATATGCATCTACTGTAAAATATTTTGCTTGTTTGCTATTATAGACATTGCAGAATAAGTGATAATATATAATATTTGAATAGTTTAACCTCTTCAACTATTTCTGTAAATGCTAGACCAAAGAAAAAGTAGTATTGTTTGGAATTACATTATTTAAATGTTTAATGCTTCAGCATATATTTGATGGTCCATCTATTATGCCTAATAAGGACACAAAAAAATATTTTTCAAACTTCACAACCAAAACTTAGAACCTTAAACCCCATGGCCTCCTCCATGTTGTCCATTAGGTCTCCAGTGCTGTTTATAGAGCGTTCCATCTTTTTCATAGCAAAGCATTGAATCGTTACTTTTCTCAAGTGGCCGCTGTGTCACGTGACCGGGTCTTACTTGAAAACATTGCTGTTTCTCAAAAACAGCAATGTTTTACACTACAAGATTAAGGGGACAGGACCACAGCACACAGACCTCTTCATTGAGAAAGTAGTAGTTAGTATCCTTTAAGTAGCATTTAACTTATTCAAATCTCTTTGAAGAGAATACAATATAAGACATATTTAGATGGGGACTGTAGAGAGACTCTTTACATCAGTAAATTAAACTGCAATTTATTGAGCGTATCCCAGAGGTGACAATTGTTATGTGAAATTTTACACTAATAAACAAATGCACGCCTGAATCAAACATGAGCATACTTAAAGCGCATTGTAGTGGTTATGGTGTCACAAGTGCTCTAGTGTTCCCCAACTGTATGTAGTAGTAACAAACCGCTGTAGGAATGGCTTATTACCTGAGGTCCACTGGGCACTGTATTTGCCTCCACTAATACCAATTGAAAGCCAGAAGCTCTCAGTCTAAACTGGTGCAATGTAGTGGTTATGGTGCTTGGCGTGTAACTTAAATAGGTCAAACCATGCAGGAGCTTGGTATTTAAACTATATGAAGTTATACATTTCCCATGTAGATGCATTTGTAGCAACACTAAGTTGTGATCCTACTAAAATTAGAACAGGACTCTCCAGGGAAAAGGATGCCAAGACAGCAGGAGCTGCTAGATTTAGTGACTCAAACGAAAAGTGTGTAGCGCCCATGTATACTGTACCCTATTATATTGATTGGTTCCTTGTGCATTCTTTGAAATCAGACAATTGCCTCTCTGTTGATGTGAGTAAAGAACAATGCAAACGCCATTTCATCTTTGAATTTGCTTGCATAGCAAATAAATATTGAAACAGATGGGATATATCTGAAGAATGATGGGAGATGGACAGATAGGTAAACAGGTGATGTTGGGAGATACAGATAGATAAGCTAAACTAATCAATGAACAGACATACAGATGTAGTTATAAGTAGATAGATGATTGACATAGATACTGTAAATAAAATTGAACTGTTACTGTTTATGTCTGAATAAAAGTTTCACATTTCTTCACCATTTAATTTGTCATGTGATTGCTCGGCTTTTTAACCATATTGATTTGTGACTTTATTCATGTATATTCAGATTGGGCTTATTTGGATGTCTGTCACCTCCTTTAGTCTGGGTAACTAGGACTCTACCTTCCTGTATCTAGACGTATCTATTGGCTGCATCTTAAATGAAGTGGGCTGAAACATTCTCAGCATCGCATATTCAGAGAAGACCTAACTGGCATTTCTGTTCTGGACTGCCATTGTGGGATGGGATCTGCCAGATATGCAAATGATATAAGTTTCCATCAGAATGACTCACAAAATAAAACGCATTGGAGATCCAATCAATTTTCTTTTACATTCTTTCATTTGATATCCCAAGCTGTGTCAGGCCCCCGTTCTGCCCCGCACTCACCTCTCGCTTCCATAAGTAGACTGCTCTCCTAGCTCAGTGTTACTGTTCTCCTGGTTAAGTCACATTGTCCTTTTTGTTCCTGCTGATTACGTGTTGTCTTCCTGCTATCTGACCCTTGGCCTGTTATCCGTTTATGAATCTGTGCCGCCCAACCTGACCTTTCTGTATCCTGACTTTGTCTCTGTTTCATCCTTGCCGGTAGCTTGTCTTGATTTCTACTCAGCCTCCAACCACATATTGGGCTCTGTATACTAAACCCTTAGCAATCTACCATTTATCTTCTCATAGTAAGGCCAAGATTAATGTTAAAGCCGCCCTTTCTTCTTTAATAGAAAAACAGCTAGACAGGAGAGAACCAAGGGCGCTCCTTCTACCAGAACCCTAAATTAAAATAACTGATGATGAAACAAAAAGAGAGAACAGGATGCACCAAGACAACTGGCTCGTTTGGCCATTTTTTTTACGCTGTTCCATCCCCCCTTTTTTCTTCATATTTACTACTGATGGTGAAACACCTGCATTTCTGGTTTCATTTAGCTGAGCGTGTGTTTCAGGGGCACTTTGCCAGTTTTGCCACCTTCAGAATAAAATTGAACTTGTTCTCTTGTTGTGAGATCGCCCGTGGCATGGCTAAACTTGTGGGGGTCCTGAGAAGTTACAGGTTCTTCTGTTCCTTCAAATCCATTGAAGGTCTTGACCGCATCAGTCACAGTCATTCCATTATTTGATGTCACGTTAGTTAAAGGGACACTCCACTGCCCAAATGCAAAACAAAAATTGTTTTTTTTAGCAGATATAACCCCAATGAAAAATGCATGCATTTAATTAGGCCTTTTTTTCCCTTTGAGATATATCTAAAAACAGCTTTTCTATGGAGCCTTTGCAAGCCCTCCCCTTCAAACCCCACCCAGTCTTTCTGTGGCTGTCCAATGACAGACTTCCAAATGCAGCTCCATGAGAAGTCTTTGCAAGGCAGGTGCACTGGGCAATTGCAGCCTCTCCAGTTTATCTCCACTGAGCTAACCAAACCAGGAAGTAACAGGGCTGGTTGTCTGACAGCTAGCCCCCAAGCTGATGTGATTTAGGGGTCTAGACTCTCCCTCTAATTCTGAGGACATATAACCTGGATATTTGTATTGAAGTCAAACTGGCTGAGAATGACATTTATAAATGCTTTCATGAGTAATTTTTATTCAGCTTGGAGAGCAGCTGTAAACCCTTCCATAATGCTCCAGCAATCTCAGGGTTAATTTTTTTGTTTGCAATATGCTTCCTGTTCTCCTACCATGTGACAGACCACAGGACCCAACCAAATGTGTTAACTCAGCATGCATAATATGTAACCGCTTGTAAGAGAGAGTGAACTGCAGAATTAAAACACACTTTACCCCTCACACTGCCTGGAGAGAACATTGTAAATCATGTGGTGCATAACTAAAAACAGGGCAATCAACTTGGGCATCAGGCCAAGAGGCACCAGATTGGGATGATGGCAAAGTGTAACATATTTTGTCTCTACGGGATAAATAATATTTTTTTCCCATATAATGCAGGGCAGCTTGAAGTTCCAAGATATTTATGTTTTCAATAAAAGTATTTTAATTGAATATGTTAAATCTGACTTAAAGAGAGGATTAATGTGGAGGAGATGGTGTATGTACCCAACGTGGATTAGAGAAAGGCTACACAGTTTGGAAGATGACCAACACTTTACATTACAGAAAGGTTTGCTATGTACCTTTTCCACAACATCTCTTCCACTCCAAGCTGAAACCCCTTCTGAAAATCAGTGTGCTATTGAGACTCTTGCTGACGACAGATGTCCATTAGGCATATAATTGATATTAGCCAGTCTAGAAATCTTGTTCCGAAATTGGCTAAAAGCGCCCCATTGACTCTACCAGAGGTGGAGTTAGACCCCCAGCAGCAAAGGAGTTAAAGCAGCAAAGGAGTTCAAATCTCATAGCAAAACATTGCACATACAGACTCCAGGCATCATAACCACTTCAAATCAGTGAAGTGGTCATGGTGCTTGGAGTAACCCTTTAAATGTCTTAATTATCTACATCTTCTACATGTAGTTAACATAGAAAGCAAAACAAAACAAAAGAAAACATTTCAGATTAGAACAGATCCATTTATTTAAACTAAATAAATAAAATACAAAATTATTTTCACCCACCACCAATACCGATAAACATCCCCCCCCCCAAAAAAAAAATCACAAATTTTACACACTTTTACAAATTAACATAAAATAAACACATATTGTTTTGCTCCGGCAATGCTGGAACTGTATAAACATGTTATAGTCAAGGGACAGACATAGAAATATGTACAAAATGGTTCTTATCTGTTCCTAAAACACAAGTCAACCACTTCTTTGCAAACAATGTTCTCTACCAAAAACAAGCAACTGTACAAGCAATGCAGACCTTGAGGACCACAGCTAGCAGGATACTTTGCCCATAGATTACATCACCCGAGGATGCTCAGTTAGTGGACCACCGGTGCCAGGATTCTGTGATAATTAACCAGGATCCTTGACCCCTAGGGTAACTGGGAGGCGTGTTTCTACCATTACACTCTAACCCTGGGATCTATTGGACGGAGCAGGTGGATTTAAGCAGCGGACATATTGTATAAGAACGAAGAAACGGGAGATTGCAGGTTTAAAGAATGTGTCACAAGCCTTTTCAATCAGAAACGGGTTACAAGTAAACTCACAGAAATTTATTAAAACTGAAATTATGGATAATTGTCAAATGCGAAGTTTAGGCCCAAGCAACTGAATTGAATTTTTTTCCCCAAAACAGATCATTTGCTAGCTCTGCCTACAAATTGAAATTCTCTTGATAATTCTACACAATTCCCAGTTTACAGAATATATTAAACAAACCCAATAACCAGTGTATAAAGCTGTGAGATCAACATACAAATGGTATGTAAACAGACTGTTCGGAATATGAGGACTATAAACAAAAAAACAAAAAAAAAACATCAAGACTAGTAAACCAAATCGGAAATAGTCTAACTTTTATAAAATTCAAAAACTAATTACACTTTAAAATAATTTAGTAATGGCTGCACAAATTCTATATTTACTTTAAGTGTTTAGGGCATCATTTGAGGTCCCCGTCATGCAAGCAGGGTTATTCAATAAACTGGAATAATCAGGGATCCAAAGTGAATTTCAAATTCTAGGCCAAAGCAGCTGAATTGAAACATAATTGAATTGGAGAATGTTTCCAGCTCAGTTAGTCTACCATAAAATTTGGAATCCCCTCTGAGTTCACCAATAACTCCTGACAAGTATCACCTTAATATAAAACCCCGTAAGAATACAAAAAAAATCTACATACGCTTTGTCTAACGCATAGGCACATTTATTTAGGATGCATGTGTTAGGATGAATACACCCACCTTTTTATAAGAGCACATAGAGGTTGGCCTAAAATTACACTTGAGGTTGAAAATAAGTCATACAGGTAACAGAAAACTTTATGTAAATTATTATTAAATAGTCCTGCAGGCATAACACACTGTAAAAAGTTAAATTAAAAACAAAATAAAGTATTGCACATAATATTTAAGTTTCATATAGGTTCCAAGTGATTAGTTTCTTCCATCAGTAAAGAGTCCAGGCCAATAATAAGCACATAATTGGATTTGTATATGATAAAAATCATGGCTATTCTCTCAATACATCAGCAGTCTGACCTCTCGTTGATAACCCCAGAATTTCCAAAACTGCTGGTCATCGAAGTTATGATCCAAGTTTATTGCTCAACTGCCGACATGTGCCGTTACTGGGTACATATGTCCAGAATGTCCTTTTATCCACAGGTTGCCAGACATGTAAAAAAAATTTAGAACCAAATTCAACCTCTGCATAGTTATTAAAGTGTGATCCACACGTGCTATATCTTGATCATGTAATGAGAAGAACGACTGTGGCCATGTCCACCCAGCCACGGTACCTTGCTGAAATCATTTTATTAATTACAGTCTTGTAAATCCATGGCTTTTGCAAGTGTTCAAATAGCTATGTCAATGACCATTATCTACATTCATGTCCACTAAAAGATAGTAATCTACAATCCGGGCATCAGTAATTGATTTCTACACATACATGTCGTACACCATTAGCTCAATTCATGTTCCTTGTGGAGTACACAATTTACACATAGAAGTAGGTTTTGGCATTAGCAGTCCAAAGCGATTTATAATCTTAATGACATTTTACACTTGTAAATAGTAGAATAGTGTATATTATTTAAACCTCTTTAAAAAAAAAAAAAATTTTTAAAAAGGCCATAAAATGTTTTCTAAATGCAGGAGAAAATCCAGACCGAGAAAATGAAAATATTATGTAAATGTGAACGGTGTCTAAAAATATAAAAATATTTGCAATTACAAAATCTCACAGATCATCGCATATTGTTAATAATGATGTAGCATCAATGTCCTTCGAGCACAACTTTTATTCTCGATCTGCTCCATCACGATCGTAATCACTATTTGAAACATTCTTTCTTGTCTTAAGTGATTTCATCCTTTCATTTACTCTTCTTCTTGAAAACACCCTCTTGCCTCTAATTACATAATGAATTGTCCATTAATATCGAGAGTTTTCCTCAGCCGCTGTGACCATAACATCCATCCAGATTCTCATGGCTTCTGGCGTTGGTGCAACCATGTAGAACAGACGTTCAAAGGTCTTCAAACAAAATGTCAGTTTGGGATGTGGGCTCTGGAAAAAACAAAGCATCACCAATTATTCTCTCTTAGGTAAACAACATAAGAGGTTTTGTTTCGAAAAATAAGCATTTCCATAAGTTCATATCCTTTCCCAGTAGACAAAGTTTGAAATGACAATCCACCGCTTGTGAAAGATATGGTATGATGCATACAAAACTTAAAATATATAAATGAACATATTAGAGCAACTATATTTATATTTGTGGGGTTTTATTTTCAAGTTGAGAGAATCGTTAACTTAAAACACACTCTGTCGAAGAAAACAATAATAAGGCAGTAATCCTTGCAGCTAAGGTATGTCCAATTTTGGCCCACAGTTAAAGTTGTGCTACGTTTCTACATACACCTGCAATGTCACAAAGAAACTCCCTAAACCCTGAAGATTAAAATGCGTTGGCACACTTCCATCATCACATATATGTCTTTATTCGTTAAAAAAATTTAAAACGTTTTTAAAAAGTTCTGGTAATTATTGTCTACCTTGAAAGCGCTCCTCAAGTGATCGTAATAAACTTCTTCAATAGCTTGGAAATATATCACCCCTTTTAGTTTCTGTTCTTCTTTATCTGTACACAAAGATAAAAGAGTAAGATGGACTTAATAAACATAGATAACAGGATCCCACAACATACCAGTGGACATATCCTGCCTATATACAACATTGTGGAATTTATTATGGCTTAATAAAAGAATCTTAATAATGATAAAGACAGTTACCTGAATAATATGCCAAACGCCTCTTTTGTCTGTCAAATACAAACCAACGTTTCTTCCAGGTCTTTATGCGTCCTCCCATCTTCACCAGGTACCCTCGGCAGCACATGGCAGAGACCCTCACCTGTGGGCAGGTCTCTACGCTGTGACCCGAGGCTTCCAGATAAGCTCGGAGATCCAAAGGTGGCTTAGAACAAGAAGATGGGGGAACTTTAACCTAAGAATACATATAATAAATGTGATGAAACGATGATGATGTTAGTTCAATAAATGTAAAGATACAAATGATATAACAGTAAACAGTGTATTATGGTAAAATAATGCTTTGAAGGAGTTCAAGAGCTATTGTGATAATGAAACATGTAAGAATCCAACGTCTTATTCATAGCTATAACTATGTGAATTAATGTTTGGTGTGTAATTAGCAAGCACTTCTCTATTCTGTATGAAAAGTGTGATAAACACCAATATCCATATTTCATTATTTATCTGTACATAAAATCTTGGGTGGGTCCACGGCTGTAGTATAATGTATTAAATATGTAAACGCACCTTGGTAGTCTCTGTCAAGACAGGTTGTACCACGGCTGGGGTAACCACAGGCATTTCATCCTTCACAGTTTTTGGATTCATCTCCAAATGTTGCGTTATCTCTCTAGCGACCCTTTTCTCCTCCTAATATTATTAAAAAAATACATTTTAAAGCACATAATTTATCACATATATAAGCAAAGAAATAACCTTGTCAATAATGTGTTTTTATTCGGTGGTATCATACAAGGCGATACAATACCATTGTATATAAATAACCAAAACGTTTTTCAAATAGAAGTGTAAACTCCTGTGTGGGGGATAACCCCTTATAGTGAAATCAGTAAATGAAAGAACTAAGTCAGGAGTTTGTTAGGGTAAGGTCATGTCATCCCTAGTTTTCAGGAGTCCTTACAATAGATATCGTTAAAACTTAACGTTTGATACTAATTGCAAATAAAATAGTTTATTCAAGCACCCATCATACCAAAAATGTCACTGTGTGTAAATAATTCATCAATAAAAGAAAAAAAGAAAAGAAAAAGTAAGCACTTCAATGCTCTATAAGTCTTGACAGTTGTGCCGGGTAGATGGAACAGGACAATGCTGTCCTCCACTGGTCAGACTGTATTGTGGCAGATTCTATTTGGCCTGTTGCCGCAAAAATAGTGAGCCCTTAGCTAAACAGTGAAATAGGAGACAAGAAGTTTTAGAATGTACAAACAATTCACCTGTTATCACTTTTTGTGTTGTTTCACTGTGAGTTGAGAGTTCCTAATTTTACCAATATTTCTCTTAGCACTTATATCAGAGAGACTCTTGATACTATAGTTAATATGTATCAATGTTGAAAAAAAGTTCAGTTTTGTACTGGAACCATGTACACATGCTGTTGAAAAGTAGGACTCTTAGTTGGTGCTGTGAGTCAGCTGTTTCAGTAAGTAAGTGGTATTTGCAGGGAAAGGGGGAAAGAGGAGATCTGATTATAGAGTCTAATAGCTTTCTGTAACCCAATTTCTTGTAGTGCCTTTGAGGGCACCCTTTACCCCCCCAAAAAAACTGTTGATTGTAGTGTCTGAACTACAGTCTCTTATTTACCCCAATGCCAAATAATTTAATGTGCAATGAATGCCCGTGTAAATGTCCAAAGGCAATTGTAACTTAGAAGCCTCTGTTGTTTGTGAAGTGCCAATGGAGACTCAGAATAGAGTGTAACAGGTTAAACAGCGTAATAATCTGTAAAGTCTGTCTGGAGTCAGTTTGCTAGAATAATTGATAGCTTATATATTAGAGGAGCCTGATAGCTAACTCTGCGTTTTACAGGAACATTCAGCACCTAAAAGCTTGATAATCTGCAAAGTGTAGATGAAGACAATTTTCTTAACTTCTATATTAGAGTAGTCTGGTTACTGACTCTGTGTGTTGCACAAAGACTGGAAGACTGACAGGATTATTTACTAAAATAGGAATTTAAAGTGAATTTAAAATGTTAGTCCAATATAACTGAACTGGAAGCATAACTGGCTTACAGAAATTTTAAGTTCTCACTTTCCAGCCTCCCAACTGTCCCAATTTTGAAGAGACAGACAAGATTTTTGGGTCCTGTCCCAACTTAGATTCTTAGTGTCCCGCTTTTGTAGACACCAGGGAACTGTTCCCAACAAATACACGCGAGCGCTATGCTTAGGCCACTAGGACCCTGCAGGAAGTACTGAAACAGTGATCCACCATGATTTTCCCTCAGTGGGCCGGTCTGGTTGATTGATTGACAGGCCCTGCTTATCTGGATGCTGGAATGGGAGGTATGCACTAAAGACTAGAGTCAGAGAGTGAGAGGGGAGAGAGATACAAAGGAGGAAGAGAGAGAGATAGCAGCGAGACAGCAAACATGAGTGAAACAGAGACAGAAAGTAATAGAGATTGAAATAGAGATACAGACAGGGAGACACAGAGAGACAGAAATAGAGAGACACAAGAAGGAGACGGAGATAAAGAGAGTGACACAAGGAGGAGAAAGAGAGACAGAGATAAAGCGTGAGAGAGACTGAAATAGAGACACGGGGAGAGAGACAGAGAGGGTTCAAGAGAGGCATGGGGCAGAGAGTTTGGGATACAGAAACACAGAAAGAGAGAGAAAAGATAGAAATGGAGATAAAGAGAGAGACACTGCGAGACAGATAGAAAAAGTGCAACACAAGGCGACAGACACAGAGAGAGACACAGAGAGAGACACAGACAAGATAAATTACGACATATTAAGATAGAAAAAAACTGAGTCAGGTATGGGATTGGAGGGGGACAGGGGATTTCGGGAAACGGACAAATAAATAGCCAAAATCAGTGAGATAGCTGTGAGGATAGGGCTCGACGTGAAAAGGAAAGCAGAAGAAAAGTAAATGTAAATTACCGGTTTAAATATTTGATTATCAATTGATTATCAATCCAAGTGTTGGATACAGTGAAAGACTATAACTTGCTACCTTGTAGATCTTTTTTATCAAACTTTTCTATTCAGCCAGAAAGTTTCATTCCCCGTTCACATCGCCACAAGTCACAGTTTAGTAAATAAACCCCGATTGACGGCCCGACCATCACATACAACAATGCAAACATGACTGATTCGCACATCAAACACGCCATCACTGAGCAGTAACATGTAAGGACAGGTGCTTCTCCCAACGCCAGACATGAACAGTGAGGTATTGTTTTACAATAATCCTTTCTATGTGAAATGCCATAAACAGAGCATAGAGCCAGTCCAAACCTCCACCTTCTGTTAGTAATCCCATCACAAGCTGGGAAACCTGTTCCTCCAGTCAGCAGGTTAGTGAATCATGCATGGGACGGAGTCACAATGTATACAGCAACTGTTACACCTGACAGTTACAGTATACAGAGAACAATGTCAATACACAGCTACATTCCAGGGAACCCATGGCACAGTGTCCTGCTAAAGGACTGTATAAGGTCTGTATCCCCCCGATAGATGGAGAGCTATAGCTGACCTGCAGATCCAGATTGTGGTCGGGCTCCCTGAGAAAATAAACTTCTCCCAGCACTGGGTGACTTGTCAGAAGAAAGGAGAAGGGCTGGTGTGACGATCATGTGACACGCAGTGGGGAAGGCGGTGTGTTGGTTTAGCATTGCATATTGTATCAGCTGAGACAGCGTGGGGTGTATATGTGTGACTAGCAGAGCTGCATATATAATGAGAGAGTCACTAGAGGAGTGTGTGTACCAGCAAAACTAGGTTTCATTTACTGTAATTCACAGCAGCTACGGATTATGGCTCCTTGCATCAAGTGTCGAATACAAGGATAGTCAGAATCTCCCTTTGTTTAATGCAAAACTGGCAGCCTGGCTCAACAGTTACTAAAATGTGATTTACTAAATTCATTGAGGATTTATTTATTTTTTTAAGATTTTTTGCAAGTATCATATCTTGAATAAACTTAAGCAGCAATTACAACAGAAATGCTTGTTAAAAAAAAAAAAAAAAAAAAGTTTAAATAGAACATTTGAATGTGTGTACTCACCCTGGCCTTTAGAAGGCGCTCTTTCTCTGCCATGGCCTCCCGCAACTGGCGTTCAATCTCAGCTATTTTAGGTAAGGATCTTGAATATATAAAACAAACATGCAATTGAGTAATATTCCCCTTGAAACTCTTCTAATTACTATAACAGTTCAGATATTTAATATGGTCTTCAGTAATATATATGCTATCCTACAACTACCTGACAAATGTATTTTACTAAGCTAACAAAAAAGTTTTATAAAATGTTTAAAGGGACACGCTGGGCACCAATACAACTATAATGCATTTGATAGTTTTTGGCTTCATTAATATGCTGTATTTTATGCATGTACAAATCTTAATATTTTTTGCAAAAAAAAAATAATGTTTTGCAGAATGCTGCCCCTAAGGCCTGCCTTATTAGCCATGCCCTCTCTCTCTCCAGAAAAACAACTTAATAGTGTACATACACCACTCAAGCCATTGACAGCACTGACTGGGCTAGAAACCAAACAGTCGGTCATTAACATGTTAATTATTTAAAAATGGATTAAAAACCAGCCCATTAGTCTGTAAACCAGTAGTAGTCTATTAACTTAGTTGGCACTAACAGCTGACATTAATGTGTTAACAAACTCAAGGCACATGCACTTGTTAGTGGTTTATAATACAGTGATACATGTAAGATATGCATCATTTCATTCTGTTCTCGTTCGAGCCACAAACGGAAGCCAGCAGATTGAAAGGAAAACACTCACAGCATGTATGTCTCTTTAAAAAAAAAATAGATCATCTTCACGAAACTGAAACAAATGTGGACACCCCTGTACCCTAGGAATTAAGAATTTTAGGACTTCTGTATTGCATAATACCGGCAATACCGTGGATAATAACCAATATTTTGTGAGCAAAGAATTGTGCGCACACCTCTGGCACTCAATGGGTTAAATATTTTTAGCGCTATGGGTTCAACACAGAGCTGGAAGATATATTCAAGAAGTCCTGGACTACTTATTACTACTTAAAATTGTGTTCTATTCCACCTCCCTCCCTATACTATCACTACTTAATTGATAACTATTATTTATCCCGTTATGATCTTCTGGGGGTTTTTTTTTAAATTGGTATGGTCATGTTATTTGATGACTTTTTGTTAATTGTTTGTTTAGCAAGTGTTACTACTTTCATTGATAATCTTGTAAATTTATGTTCATGGTTTATGACTTTCACCTATCTGATCGTCCATATATCTTTTTATCCCAAATGTTCTCTCCTCTGGTTTTTCATCTCTAATTAATTACCTCAATAGCCCCATGTCTCCCCACCCATAATAGTGTGCTTATTTCTTTTTTTTTTTTCTAACCCAAGACCTTATATTTCAGACTGGGCCCCTAAAAACAGCATTAACACCCAGCGCTCACAAGCAACCAAGTCTTGCAGAATCTTCTAAGCAGACGACGACTAGAGGTTGATGGACAATCTGTTAACCAGCAAATAGGAAGGTTCTATGTTACCCAGTAGATAGCAACCCACAAGTCACTGGGAGGTAAGAAAGCCCATTCTGAGTTTCCGCACAATTTGACAATTTCTTCCCTCTGAATTGTATGGATTAGGGCAGGAGTAGGCAACCTTTGGCACAGCAGATGTGCCCCTGATGCTTTGCCAGCATTGTGGCTGTACGAGCACTATGGAAGATGTAGTCCACAACACCTGAAATGCCAAAGGTTGCCTACCCCTGGATTAGAGCATTTTACTGGTTGAGTTAAACTCATATGATTCGCAGGTAACATCTGTCTTACAGTGATAGAACAGGTCATCATGTTTTTCCGAGTAATTTATTAAAGAAGCAGAGATCCTAATTTATAATTACCCATTGGTCAGTGAAGATTTGGGGGGACAATTTGGGGTTTTCCCTTCGTTTGACGTTCTCCTCTCTTCCCCTTGGATATTACGATTGCGAGCGCTCAGAAGATTTGGGCTGAGAGACAGGCCGATTTTACCAGCCGTGCTTTGAGAGGACACGGCAAGATTTAACGCAAGACCAACGCTCTGCAAACATGCTGTGAAAAAAAGAAAAGACCTATTTTAAATATTTCCAAAATTTCTGCAGGTATTTTTTAGTTTTCTTGCTGCTACAGTTTTATTATAGGTAAGTGATGGCTTTTATAATTGGCACAGCAGGAGTGAATTTCCACTGTAAACTCAAAATCGCCAAAACAAAAAAGAAAATCCTTGCAGCATTTCACATTTACCACTATCTACAGAACAGAAATTTCGCGCACTGCCAGGAAATAAACAGATTTTAAGATTACAAATATTTTTTCTGCTCAAAAAAAACTACATCTGTTAGTAGCAAAATAATAAGCTGCTTAAACATTTACTTATTTCCTAAACTGAGTGAAACATTAGGGGACTGGAATTTTTACAGTTTAACTATTTTGACGTTAAAGGGACACTATAGTCACCAAAACAACTTTAACTCAATAAAGCAGTTTTTGTGTATAGAACATGCCCCTGCAGCCTCACGGCTCAATCCTCTGCCATTTAGGAGTTAAATCCCTTTGTTTATGAACCCTAGTCACACCTCCCTGGATGTACCTTGCACAACCTTCCTAAACACTTCCTGTAAAAAGTCATCTAAAGTTTATCATTTTTTTTTATTGCAAATTCTGTTTAATTTAGATTTTCTTGTCGCCTGCTATGTTAATAGCTTGGTAGACCCTGCAAGAGCCTCTTGTATGTGATTAATGTTCAATTTACAGAGAAAGAGAAACAAATTTTAAGGTAAATTACATCTGATTGAAAGTGAAACCAGTTTTTTTTCATGCAGGCTGTGTCAATCATAGCCAGGGAGGTGTGACAAGAGCTGCATTAACAGATACAAAGTGATTTAACTTCTAATTGGCAGTGAATTGAGCAGTGAAACCTGAGAGGCATGATCTATACACTTAAACTGCTTCATTAAGCTAAAGTTGTTTAGGTGACTATAGTGTTCCTTTAAATTTAAAATTTTCTTTGAATTCCATCAATTTCCACTTCAGTGAATAACCCTGTCAATATTTAAAATCTGAATAGTTAAACTAGTTCAGAAGTTTATAATTCTTTAGAGCTATATTTTAACCAAACTACTATCGAATTACTTATCAAAAGACTTAAGATGTAAAACATCTTGCAACCCAGGGTGGCCAAATGCAGATTCTCGGATGTTATAGAGCTACATATCCCATGATGCTATGTCAACCTTGAGTGGTACAAAAATCTATTTTTATTTTCTATATTTTCAAAAATTCACCAACCAGGTACTTTTGAAACTCAGCTATTTTAACCTAAACGGTACTATTCCCTGTTCAAAGTCTGTACAATTGCCAGTTTAGTGAATATACCCTTAAATCATTATTATTTTTATTTGTTTTTTTATTAGAATCACAAACTTAAAAAAAGAATGCACAAGATCCCTAGTAAATCGATAGTGCCCCCTGCCCCCGTAACAATTTTATGTATAAACAAGGGTCTTCATTTTACAAAAAGTGCAGATTTAAAAAAAAAAAAATTATTTACTTTTATCACCTGCCTTACAAAGGCTTTTCATTGAGTCTGTGATTGGACAGCCACAGAAAGTCTGGGCGGTGTTAGAAGGGGTGGACTTGCAATGGCCACATACAAGAGTTCTGCAGATTTTGTCAGTTTTTACATATACCCACAGTAAAAAAATTTATGTTTTCATTCTGACAGTGATTTTTATTTTTGAGGGATTTGGGCAGTGGAGTATCTCTTTAACACTAACTTAGTCAGCTGTCACCAGTGATTGGCTGCGGTGACACAGATATCAGAGAGTAAATGGAGGTCAGTGTAAAACGACATGCATCTGCAAAGCAACTAGTCATTTTTAGCAGAATCATTATTTTAAATAAAGAGAGGCCCAGTGAAACTGTCAGCCCTGTACTGTGAAATAATTACTGTTATAAGTGATGTATGTAGAAAGCACCAGGTACTCCACAGTTTTATTTAACAGGTCTGCCATAAACGGTGGAAAACCCCAGACCTTATGTTAGTAACTAAGATACTCATTGTGATAGTTAAAAGGATACTTTAAGCACCAAAACAACTTTAGCCTAATGAAGCAGTATTTGTGTATCGATCATGACCTTTCAGGCTCACTGCTCAATTCACTGCCATTAAAGAGTTAAATCACTTGTTTCTGTTTATACACTCCTAGCCACACCTCCCCAGATGCGACTGCTCTGCAAGTTGAACTTTAATCACACACAGGAGGTTCCTACAGGCTCTAGTATGCTATTGAAAGAGCAGGTGAGAAGAAATTCTAAATTAAACACACTGTGCAATAAGGGGAACAAACATCTTAACTTTTTTTTTTTTTGAGTTATTTAGGAAGGCAATGTTAGTCACACACAGGAATGTGTGCCTAGGGCTGCATAGACAAAGTGATTAAATGTCAGAGAATTGAACAGCGAGACTGCCGGGGCATGATCTATACACCAAAACTGCTTTATTAAGCTAAAGTTGTTTTGGTGCTTATAGTATCCCTTTAACCCCTTAAGGACCAAACTTCTGGAATAAAAGGGAATCATGACATGTCACACATGTCATGTGTCCTTAAGGGGTTAAAAAGATAACCATGGCACCATCTGCAAAATGTATCCAAAATACCAGATATGGAAAATATCTCTTTAATAGTAATAATAACAATAATATTATTTTACGTTTTAGCTTTATAGACAATATGCATGGTGTATTCATGCATCTATCTGCTTATACCATGCCAAGTACTGAGTTCCACTATCTCTCCAGTGTAGCCTTGGCCTATAAATTGTGGTAGCACAACAAGTCCATGGCAGAGATTTGGACCCAAGTTTCAGGTAAGTAGATCTTATAAATTTATAAATATAAACATATACATTTGCATGATTTGGAATCCCAAAGTATAGATTACTTTTTAGAATTTGCCAATTTATATTTAATATTTGTAGATGGCAGGTCCACCTTGAAAGGAAGTACTCTCTGAGCACAGTGGTCACTTACTGCTGCTGTGAAGAGAAACTGGCCGGTCGGTAGGCCGGACGAACGGGGCATTTCCTCGTCTTCGTGGCAAGCTGGAGGTTCTCTGGAGTCCCTGGTGGACGGAAAAATATAAGACAAGTTAAGCATGGAGCCCAAAACTAGACAACGGAAATAAATGGAAGACGTACAGTCTCAAATGTAAAATATCCAATGTGCTGAGGGCAGGGAAAGTGAGTGAAATTTGTTTAATCGACCACTAGGTGTCAGAAGATGACAGATGACCGAAGTCTAGTTTCTGTCTTACTTTTCTCAGAGGGCTTTCCACCTTTTCCTTTTGATCAGAGTCTTTGGTTCCAAGTGCCAGCAATCGATTCTTCTCCTAGAGTACAAACACATGGTCACTGACATGACATACGAGAGCAATATTAACTAAAGTATTTAACATTATACAAGAGGGACAGAGTTTATACACATATAACCCAAGGATCGCTGAAAAGATTAGTCTCCCTCTAAGCTGGTAAAGATATCAACCACGGCCACTGGGCAGTCTTTTAGTTCATCCCGACATCAAAAAAATATTATTGTATTTAAGTAAGTGCCCCTCATAACATGTGTAAAGACAGCGTTTCTCTCATTGATCTCTGTGACCTCAATATTTTGTGCCAATCAAATTAAAGTGACTTTAAAAGGTGGAACCCTAAGGATATTTCTAGGTAGTGTAAACCCATTAAACCCTGCATTCTGTCCCTATGCCCAGTGGAGCCAGACGTGGTTCTAGATTTTTCTGTTTGTATTTTACAGGTTATGCTAAATATTTGTTGAATTGTGATGCAAAACATTTTCTACTTAAATCTGTTGGAGAAAGAATGTTCACATAGTTGTTTATAGGAAATTGCTTTCAGTACTTGGCTCCATAGTTCTCAAGTTCTAGTTCTGACGGTCTACACAACCAGGAGAGGAGATTATATACAGGTATGTCTTTCGGGAATACAGCACACGACAGAACACTGCATAGATCGTCATGCCTCCATACAGCACAGTGCCCAGCTCTTCATCTCTCTGCAATGAACAGTGCCCAGCACACAATCTTTCCATATAGTATACGGCTTATCTCGCCATCAGACTAAGCCTTTGCCCAGTATAATGCCTAGCTCTGGGCTGTAGCCATTATAGTGCCCAGCTCACTGTCAGATCAGGACTGTACCCAGTACAGTGTCCACCTCACCGTCCCATCCTGCCTGTACACAGTATAGTGCCCATCTCATTCTACCCATTGTTTCCATACTGGATCGTAAAGTACAAATATAAACCAATACCTGATTTAGAGACTGGAAGACTTGGGCATTTTGCTCACTAATCCTTTGTCTCTCTGCCACGGCTTGCTCCTCTGCGCCCTTTATCTGCTCTTCTAGGCGCAAAACTTTGTCCTAGGGGGGAAAAAAGGAGTTAATTGAGTTAATTTAAAGGCTGATTTGGCACACAGTCCCTACTAGTTTAAATCAGCATTAAGTTCAATTTTACGGCTCATTTCTACATTGTTAAGATAAGACTTTTAAATAAACATCTATACCAAGGGGCACAGAGAATTCTCCTGAGGCTGTTGAATGCACAATGAATACATACAATGTACACAAATGTCTGGTGGTGATACCACTTACCTTCCTTCGGTTAAGCTCATTTTGTTGCTTGGATATGTTTTGTGAGATCTGTCTGTATGCAGCTTCATGTTCCTCCTCTCGGCCACTCTCTGTCTCCAGCTGTTGGAACTCCAAGTCCTCAAAAGATTTCACAGCTAATTCCATAGACTCCGTCATCTGCAATTAACACAGAGTGAATAACAAACGCTTTCATCTAAGAATCAACGACCAGTAAACAAAATGCACTGCCTATAAACAGTGTGAGAGTTACCAACGTAAGAACCCATGTGGTAGCACACTCCACCACCACAATGACTATCAAAGAATATAGCACAGTGACAGTGTCTGGGTTACACACCATTCTAACCATCAATTAAAAAAATGGTAGCAAAGGTAACTGGGCACTCTCCACCACCTTGGAGAGAATGAAGCATCTAGACCTGATAGCTGAACAACCTCCAAACAATTCACAGGATAATGGACACAATATAATGTCACCCTGCATTATCTACTGAAAAATCTGATTAATTGACCCAATACATATTTTTCACCAAATATGGAAAAGACATAGATGGAAAAGTGACACCTGCGCATCCTCATTCTTCTTCTAGAGGGGACAACCGAGCAGTGAACCAAACACCTGGGCACCCTTCCAGGCACTGAGTATATTCAATGCCTAAAAATCTAATTTCGTTCACAGAAGGATCACAGGCAGGTAGACCTAAGAACTTCAGGAATCACACGATCTATGTGAGACTCAAACTACAACTATCGAGCATTAACTACCTTATAAATAGTAAGCACTTTAATCGGGTAAGTCAGAGACATTTCTAAAAGTAAAACCCTTCTAAAAAGGTCATAACGTATCGTATCCTTTAATTAATAATAAAAAGTATAATAAAATTAATCAAACAGTCTTAAAAGTCTATAAACTCTGATGGAAGTAGAACCTTTCATCTCCTGAGTCAACAGAAGGACCACAAGTTATCATCCATTGGTATAAAATCCTAATCAGCCCACCCTACTTCTGCTCACCTCCTGTATCTGCTTCCGTAGTTGTTCCCGTAAACTCTCTGGTTGTTTGTCCAGCTGCGCACGACACTCTGCGATCTTCTTCTCAAGATCCCGCACTTTCTTCTTCTCATCATGCAACCGTAGCTTATCCTGTGGTGTAATAAAATGAAAGTAAGCGGCTGGTCTCACAGCAATGTGCGAAGACTCTAATCTGTGGCTCAGTCAGTATTTTCAACAAAGCAGTTTAATAAGAGATGTTTGTCCAGCAAAACAAAAATTGGCAATCCATAGATGTGAAGTTCAAGAATTCCTAAAAGGTGAATCCACTGTGCTGAGACTACTAAACAGAACTAATGAGTAAAAGGTATCGTTCTTTACAGCTGTGAATCAAGTATTAAATAAGGGACCAATATCTGTATTCAAATAACACAGGACAGGTCTTTGAGATGATAATTATTCTGATAAGCAGATATAAAAGATGCATTCATTCAGGTGATGACAGAAAATGTTCTGTGTAAATAGGTGTGCCCAAATATTACCTTTTCTTTTTCTTCCTGCCACCTCCCCTCCGTCTGTCTCAATTGCTCATGTAAAGACTGTATGAGTGCCTCATCCTGTTCCATCTTCTTTCTTTCTGTCCTCAGCTCTCCTTCCAGCAAAGCCACCTCCATTTCCACCTGCAATAAACAGAAAGAGAGACTTTGTGAGAAATAAGCACCTCCCACGAGGAACTCTTCTATCCCCAGGAATAATATCCCTCCTAAATGGGAAAAACTGGGAGGAGCAGAAATGAAAGGGAAAAAGCTAACTTTGAAAAAAATGTTTCCGGCTTTTCAATACATTTCTGTCCTGAAAATAAAAACAATTATAATAGTGAATACCCATACAGATCATACCTCTAAGACTGTCTTAGCCTAATGGGAGTAGTCTACGTGACGTTAAATGCTTGCCTTTAATCAAAGGGACAAGGACTGTTTTTGAAGATATTACTGCTGTTTGTGATATATTTTGGAGTTTGGTCAGAAAATCCCTACAAATAAATAAACACATAATTGATAACGCATACTAAAAATCTCCAAAATGAGAGAAATTCCTCCAAACTTCTAATGTTAAATTCTATGGAAATCCAATAACACTATTAAGACAGCTTGCAAGCAGAGCCCAAAATTGCAATAAATGTTTTGTTTTTTGCTTCCTGTCAAAAACAGCAAAATAGAGATCACAATTTATAGGCTTGGCGTCATCATAAGGAAAAATAACTTTGAATAGTTGAAAAACAAGTCAGGAGTTTCACAATGTGCAGACTAGAAGTGTAAATTAAATTCTATGTACTGTCAGACTATGTAGATTCTCAGCAATCAGGAGCGGCGAGGTAATTAGTCTTCCAGCCGACAAAGATGGACCAGAAAAGAAAGCTAGTGCCATTTCTAAAGGATGTGACGAGCGATGCAAGAAAGGATTTGGCCAAACGACAGACCTTGCACTGACCTCTAGTGCACCATTCTTCTGCTTTTGACCGTGGTTGCTTTGTGCCTGTGAATGTTCCTCAGACACAGTGCTTCAAAACTTGACATTGCTCAAGAAAACAAGTGTCCTGTTGTATCAGTTAATCTTTTGTTTCAGTGTCAATACACCCAGACTGCGGTGCACACCTGTTCAGCCACAGAATATAAACAGTGGACAAGTTCTGTACGGGCTGGCGGAGCAAATAGTGACATTGACAGACGGGTTCTTTTAAGGAATAAGGAAATATCTCTGCAGTTTTTTTCAAATATTTTTTATTAAAGGTTTTTTATTTTTACATCAATATATGCAGTACGTTTATACTGCATACAAGACAAAATTGTATATGAAGATATAAACAAAAAGAGTACAAACTAAACAAAAAAAATAGTTTATACTAGCAGAACAGCATTCAATAAAATACATTTTGTTCTGCAACATATTAAGAAAGTTTGATTTGGCAAACTGGAACATCTATTTTAATTTTTTGAGCAACAAAAGTTATATTTGAACTAATTTGAATAAGTCCTAGGGGTGCTATCTCTATACCTGCTTCTATAACTCTGCTGATAAGCCGCAGGCAAGTAATTGGTATGTATATCGAGAGCAAGATGGTTTGACTTTTTGTACACACAAAAATATAAACAATCTACATGAATTTCTTGGTTTAATTCAGGGAAAAATATAAGGGTGGTTTAAGCATTAGCAAACCCTCTCAACATTTTTCTGGTTGCTGTGCCCATGTGCGGCATAATAGAATTTCTATTGGTAATTAAGCAGACAAGAAGACATACCTTTAAAGGTTGGGGGGGGGAGGGGGAGTGCAGAAATTCCTGGACAGTTTTAGACTAAATCATGACCTCCTTATAATCATGTCTATAAATGAACATAGGATTTAGAACACCATAGCATGTGATTTACACAAACTGGTTCCTAAACGCATTTATTGTGATTTAAAGACCCATTACTGTGAGTTTTATTGCTGTGATGCTCCACGATAATCTCCTAAATACCAAACATTTCAGGGACATTAAGATATAAAGAGAGGAACAGTGAGATATTTGGGCTCAAAATACAACTAAACAGGAAACAACTGGGAGGTATGGGCATAATGTGTATACAGGGCAGAATTTCATACGTGCTCAAGTATGACACAGTTGTTTATTGGGGTGCAGGTTTGTTTTTGGGTTCTGAATTCTAGAATTATGGCCTGCTAAAAATTGATAGCCCAACCTAAAATATGAGTTATTTTTGCTTACTCTTTACCACGGCTTACAGAAAGGTTCACAAATCCGGTTCTTCCTTTTTGTCCGTATGACAATGCGCACGTGCAATATTTTAACAATGATGTAGAGGATTACAGTTGGAAGATATCTATCCTTAATAGATGTTTAAAAAAAAAAAAAAAAAAACATTTGTTTTGTAGAATATGTACGAAGGAAAAGAAACTAGTGCTAGATCCAACCAAGGCAGATCTGCTTAAAAGGAAACCAAAATAATGTTTGGAGACTTCATCGACAATGAGTGCCAACGACAGACCACGAGGCTCATTCACTAAACAGTTTGATTGTGATCTAAATTAATTTCCTACTTAATTTTATGTGTTTTATATAAGTGTCTTCAGTGATCTGTTTATTTCTTTAAACTTCTTCCAAATCGCCTTTACCAATTGTGAGATGTTCACGCAGATTCTGTGGCTGTGAACTACAATTCTTATCACATGCATGTAATCAGTTGGGTAGCATGGGAGTTGTAGTCCGCAGCACCTATAAGGCCATAAAATGTCATTTTATGTTCTCTTCTACATTTCTTAAATGGAAAAGTTTATGTTTTCTTAGCAGGGGTGGCTGAGGTTATAAGCCCCTTGGCAATTTTTATGAATCGTAAAATTCCCAACTCCTGTTTTTAATTAGATATATATATTCCCAGACTACACTGTGCCATCCCAACCCCACCCCCCCTTTCAGGTTTCGGTTCCTCCTATAAATGAGAATAGTCTGGAAATACTGGTTTGTCAGGGTGCGGGGGAGTCAAGGATAGTGACGCTACCGCAGTTTGTTGGGGGAGGGGTTTTAAAGTATGATGGATGGTTTGGGAATGAAACCAAAAGAGCAGACGTTCTGGGGGAAACTGTACATATTGAACAAGATTATCAGGTGGTTAGCGCTAAACACTGGCAAAGGTGTGACACTTAGAAAATATAGGGTAGAAAAAGATCCTACTGCTGTGTTTTCGGTTACCTCTCCTTAATATGTATCAAGCAGTTAGCATTGTGTTTTCTCAGAAAACATGAGAAATAATTTTTGGAAAATTCTGGTGGTCTACAGCTCACAAAGAATTAGAATTATGCAGCCCACTCAGGAATTTGCAAAATGAAATCCAGCCAGAAAAGCATTGATACGGAGAGCACTATCCAAAATTAAATGCTAAAGTTAGCTAGATATTTTTATTGTGTTTTTAATAAAATTTTATTTAAAAAATAAATGAATAAAAACAAAAAGGTAAAAAGTGCGTATTTATTCAGTGCATATTTCATTTTTCAATAAAAAAGTTACAGGCAGTGCTACAAGATGTTTTATATACACTATCTGATGACAATGATAATTTAATAGGAGGTGTTGGCAACACCAGTGAGCTTTCCTGACAGGTAGTGTGGGTTACGAGAGGTGTGGCGGGTCCAAGAACGCAGAGTGCTCAGGGAATGTGGTTTAAAGAGGTATTCAGAGGTGGAGCGAATATAAAAGTAATATATTTTGTTTTGTTTTTCTTCAGAGAAGTGGTTAAAAACTTGGCAAAGTAAAACAAAGACATTAACATACCCCCAACACTGGTGTTAAAAGCAGCAGCGTCCTGAGCGGGGGGTGGGGGTGCGATAGCATCCGAGGGACCCAGAGTGTAGAGCGAACACATCTTGCACTGCACTTTTTGAAAACAGTTCCTGGGTGTCCCCAAAAGCAGAACACCAGTGAACAAAGTTGGGATGGTGGGACAGGACATGAAAATTGGGACTGTTCTGGAACTCTGGAAGGTTTAGACGCATGCATTAGCAAGTTTAGCTGAATTAACGTATCGCAAATTAATAAAATGTAAAAAGCTACATGATGAATTACGTAGAGTATTAAAAAGTAACTCATTTCTCATTATTGTTTTTCCATTTTTTTTATATTTGTATTGCATTAACTCTATCACAAGAGGTAAAGACATGTCATGGTAAAATATAAGATTAGGGTCAACAAGATTATGCCATACATGTCAAGATTTTTGCACAATTTTTAATTATCTCATGTTAAACGAACAGCTTAAATATATCAGAAGAAAACAAGTAAAACCACTGGAGCAGGAGTTAAGGGCAGCATGATAAAATGCCTATAATCACTTAAGAAAGCATATCCTTCACGGTGCACAAGGAGTCCCCTCATTGGGCCATTATTATGTAAAAGTCATCCGACTTCTAGGATCGCAAACCACTACTTCTAATTACGGAGTCAGCATTGAAGAGGGTGACACAAGAGACAACGTAAGGATTGGTGGAGGCCCATGGCCCAGGTGAGTTCTCGTAACACATGATCGATGCGCATAAAGCCTGACTGATGGCTGGGAATTGGGGAAGTCCACTGGTCCAGCATTGCCCCAAAATCTCGAGCAGATGTCAAAGGCGCCGAGCAGAGAGTCCACATGTAAAAGTGTCTGGCCCACTTTCGGCAAGGTAACATTCACCATCTTTGATCAGTTTGTAGCAGTTAGCAGGCCAGCCGATCAACCTGTGGCAGAAGCCATTGAAGCTGCTCTGGACACGGAAACCAGAATTATCCCCACTGGTCAACAGGGGTGAAAAAACGGCTCTAGATGAAGTCACAAGACAATTCAGGAGGGTAACAGCCTCTCCAGCTTCTTCACCACAGGAAGGCTGCCAAAGCATTGGGACTGGACTAAGATAAAAAAAAATGCTGCTTGAGTTGTATCAACCCATTCACCAGGTCTTCCCAGTTAGACAAAAATATCTGGGAGTCAACTAAATCTGACCAGTCAGTCATAGTAGTAAAAAATGTAGTTGCATAAGAGGAGCTATGGCACTTTGATTTCACTCTGCATGGCATTCAAGCCCCTCCCCCATTTCTCATTATTTTTAATATTATTTTAGTCTATTACCTATATTTTACAAATATTAAAGCACCCACTGTTTTTGTTTCTCCTCCATCAATGCAATACACGCTGTAAACTTAAAATAATCGAAAAATAGATGAGAGCACATTAAAAATAAGTAAATTATAACCTACAATACAAGTATATTACATATTCACAATTCAATAATGCAACCATTCGTTATCCAACTCACATATAACTGAGACAGAGAATGCAAACTTTTAAGGCTCCAGTCAAATATCTCGTTTGTAGTTCTCCAGATTCTACCCCAGCAGATTTATATCCAGATCATATAAATAAGCATAAGGGAAACTTACAAAAAACACTGCCAATCCAAGCCAAACATAAAAAATTAAAAAATTTAAAATGTATAACAAGTAGCGTTTTGTGGAAATTGTATACAATGTAGATCTAATAATTCCTTGATAGCTTTTTCTTTGCTGCCCCACGACCCACCGGAAGACGATGGTTGCATCCGCAGTGGACAGGTTTAGGTGGGTAAAAAAAAAACCTCACTTTTACCTGCACTCCCCCCACTCCTGTCCACCGGATCTCCAGCGGTGACGTCACCATTGAGGGTCTTTGCGAATTCTGCAAGTCCACAGACTTTGACAGTGCTGTTTTAAGGGAAATGCTGAGTCAACTCGAGTTTAGCCTAACTTAATTTAATGAGGGTGATCTCTTTAGCGGATGTCTCTAGGTAGGAACTGACTTGTCTTGTGCAGAACTTGTCCAAACAGGAGAACATGTAAAGATCTCACCACAGTCAGCTTACCAGCCAGCATCATTCCAGCTACACCAAGGGGCGTATTCACTAAATACCAATTTGTAGTCAATTGAAAGCTATATTGCAACAATTGGGACAAAAAATGTGAAAATGTTCTAGTTTAGCTCTATTCACTTCCTAGATTCTGCAGTTTGGTTTCCAATGCAGTAAAATGTGATGTTTAGTAAATAACCCCCTTCGTAACTACCTAGAGTCTAACTTTCTGAGTTCACTCATTGGGAACAAATTCTAAAAATATTCATAAACAACCCTCTGCTTATTATCACCTGTATTTCCTCAATAAACAAATTTTTAGTAAGATTATCAGAGTGCCTAAAGAATGACAATTGCTACAATTTATCCAAACATACAAAATTAAGTCATGCACTCAAACTCCCACTATTCCTGGGCGGCAGCAATGACCATAATACACATCAGCCCCAATACATACAAAAAAAAAAACAAAGAAAAAAAAATGGATTGTATTGTATCCTTTCAGTGCCAGAGGAATGATCAATGCCTTCCTTCCAGTAAATGTTTTGTAGGGGGAAAAAAGCTCTGCTAATTCAGAAAATAAGAAAAAGTTACCTTTCCCCAGTTAATATCTTTAAGAACGGTGGGACAAGCAACTTAATTAAATTTTAAAAAAAAAGGTTTTAAAAAATGATTTAGATTACTGTACAATCCTCTGACATTTACAAGGTTAACAGTGTTGGCATGACCAAAAGGCGCAGGTTACCTCAATAGTGAGCTCACGCCGCTGTAGCTGCAGCTCTCTGATTTCCTGCTCCAGCTGTGAAATTCGACCCATAACTTTCATCTGCTCAATTTCGAGCTGCATCTGGACCGGAATCCTGACCACATCTTCCTGCTGGTGGGAGAGGGAGAATGTAATTGGCATCCGTTAAACACAACATCGAATTCATCATAAGAACCCCGAACGGTCGTGAATTGAAAAATCTATATAGTCATAGTTTGGCCATCGATGCCCACTTTGACCAATTTATTTTTCAATCAACTACAATTCAGTGTTTAGCGAATAAACCCCTGTTATTATTATTATATCAAAGTTTACAGTAATAATTTCATTCCAAATCAGGTAGAGGGTCTAATCGGCTCACCGGATATGTAAAACATGAAGCGTGCCAACTAAATGCAGAACCAAAAATGTATAGGAAGCGGTCTAAGCAGAAGAGAGAGCAATGCAGTCTATTAAAGTGCACTGACAATTAAAGCAATTGCACTTTTTTAACAAGATGTTTAAAGGACATAAAGATACACTGTATGTTAGTCGCATTGTGTAGGTTCGGTCACAGACATTTTAACTGGTAAGCCCTTTAAATTAATTTCTTGTCTCCATAAACCTACCCCGTACACCCCATCTTGCAGTTTCTTTAATAACACAGATGTACAAAATTAACAGCAAGTATTTAAAGGGAAATGCAGTCTAGTGGTTAGCGTTATACTGTATGAATACTAAACTACATTCACAAAAACTCAGTTGTGCCCATATAGTCCTGCGGCAGAGTAATTTAAAGGTAGGGGCTTTTAACCCTGCAAGTGAAAACATTGGCATTCTGCAGGATTTAAATGCCTCCAGTGGCTGTCACACAGTAAAACTCTGATATGTCTATCAGGCACAGTCTCATAAAGACCATCACAATTGGCACAGTGCAGCATTTTGAAGTGCATGCGCACTAGCCTCCCTAATGCTTTCCTATAGATGAGCATTACTTGCAGAGATCACCGATCTCCAGCTCAGCCAAGAAGGCTGGACAGCAGCTTCGATTCCAACACTATGACAAGACCTTCCTACAGGTGGGGGCCAGGGACCTAAACGACCAAGAGGGCACAATAGCGTTCGGAATACACATTTGTATTCCTAACCCTATAATGTTCCATTAATAGATATCCCCCCAAACTACTTTAGAAAGATACTTAAAAAAGTATCATGATTAGCGGTGTAACCTGCTAGTCTGAACACAGTTCACTGCAAAAGCCACAAAAATTAGGGATTTTCTGCAAATTCAGGAACTTCACGTGCAAGTATTTATTTTATTTTTTTATTTTTTAGTATTGGATGCATGAGCTACACAATGCACTTAAAAAAATATGATGGGTCATCTGAAGGCTGGAAGGGACAATTTTTTTCCTGGTATACCATGTAAACTAAAATTAAGGATTGCAAAAAATAAATTAAAGACTGCAAAAATATGAAAAATTGTATCTTTAGTAAGATGTATTCATTATGCTCAGCTGTGACAAGTTATTTCCCATATTAGTTTTATGTCCCAGGTCACCAGACATGTTTCCTTTTTAGAATTTATGATTGCAATACATAGTTTATTAAACATTTCACAAAAATCAGGAACTCCACTTATTCAGGGGTAAGGAACTGAAAATGACCTGTAAAGTCATGTGGCGCGACCATTTCTTTAACAATCATATTAAAGACTTAAACGATATCACAATCTAGTTCAGTCCTGGCACAGACAAGGCATATTTTGCAAATGAGTAAAAGAAATAGAAACATTGTTTGGTCTCTTTTATTCTCGGTATCTATTCTCTATGCTGATTGCCGGGTGCAAAGACAGAGCTCATAGCAATGACAGACAGAACAAAGATGGAGAGGTTTGGATTTCTATATTTAAATTATTACACACCTCCCAAATACATATTGTTTTAAATATAGGTAATAATTAAATATAATATTAAAAATCCTAATTAGTAACAGTCTGCCCCCCTTTATGTGTATATTGTTTGGTTCAAGTGCTAATTTTTTTTTTTCCAAAAAACAGTGTATCTGACAAACCTGTTCCCAGCAGCCATGATGGGAAATAAACACTGAGAATGTGTTGGTATACGCATTTACTTTAATCTATACATTGCTCCAGCACAATAGATAGATTTAAATTGATACACACCCACACTTCCCAATATTTCAAATGGGCAAATATAGACACTTTAATTGTATGGGTGTAGGTGAGGGCGTGGCCAGGGCTCTTATGAGACATTTTAGGTGACAATTTATGCAACTGATTTACACAGACTAATTTCTTAACACGTTTATTGTAGTTTAAAGACATATTACTGGGAGTATTATTGCGGTGGAGCTCTGTTATCCACTTAGACACATTACTGGGAGTATCATTGCTGCGGGGCTCTGTTATACATTCAGACACATTACTGGGAGTATTATTGCTGCGGGGCTCTGTTACACACTCAGACATTACTGGGAGTATTATTGCTGTGGAGCTCTGTTATACACGCAGACACACCAGCAAAATGAAGCTTCTAGAAAAGAGGGACCTGGGGATTCAGATCCAAAATAGGGACCATCGCTCCTAAGTAGGGACACTTGGGAGGTATGCCTACCTGAATATGATCATTTATAGATGGCACGTTTAACTTTAAAGGACCCCTCTAGGCACCCAGACCACTTCAGCTTAATGAAGTGGTCTGGGTGCCTGGTCCAGCTAGGGTTAACCCATTTTTTAATAAACATAGCAGTTTCAGAGAAACTGCTATGTTTATCAATGGGTTAAGCCTTCCCCCTATTTCCTCTAGTGGCTGTCTCATTGACAGCCACTAGAGGCGCTTGCGTGCTTCTCACTGTGATTTTCACAGTGAGAGCACGCCAGCGTCCATAGGAAAGCATTGTAAATGCTTTCCTATGAGACCGGCTGAATGCGCGCGCAGCTCTTGCCGCGCGTGCGCATTCAGCCGGCGGGGCGTAACGGAGGAGGAGAGGAGGCAGAGAGCTCTCCGCCCAGCGCTGGAAAAAGGTACGTTTTTAACCCTTTCCCCTTTCCAGAGCCGGGCGGTAGGGGGTCCCTGAGGGTGGGGGCACCCTCAGGGCACTATAGTGCCAGGAAAACGAGTATGTTTTCCTGGCACTATAGTGGTCCTTTAATATAATGCTTCATGAACAGCTTACAGAAGAAGTTAAAATATTAAATGTCATACATAAAACAGACTTTATTAGCTCTACCAACTATGTTCATTGCATGTTCCCTGTCCCATTTAATAATTCTTTGTTCATAACTAATGTTGGAAAATAAAGTCTCTACACTGAATAAAATGTACTCTGTAAAACCTTTCCTTTTCCCCCCACCCCCACCCCGTGGCCTCAGATTATCGAAAAGTGACTCACTGACACTTTGTCATATGTCACAGGGGAATGTAAGATTAAATTTAAGGTGACAACATTTTTCCTGTTGCTTCCCTTGTTCATCATGTAACAAATATTAAAGGACCACTCTAGGCACCCAGACCACTTCAGCTTAATGAAGTGGTCTGGGTGCCTGGTCCAGCTAGGGTTAACCCATTTTTTTTTTTATAAACATAGCAGTTTCAGAGAAACTGCTATGTTTATGTTAGGGTTAATCCAGCCTCCAGTGGCTGTCTCTTGACAGCCGCTAGAGGTGCTTGCGTGCTTCTCACTGTGAAAATCACTATTATGAATCCTTTCCTATGAACTGGCTGAATGCGCGCGCAGCTCCTGCCGCGCATGCGCATTCAGCCGAAGAGGAGGAGAAGAGGCGGAGAGGAGGAGGAGAGCTCCCTGCCCGGTGCTGGAGAAAGGTAAATTTTAACCCCTTTCTCTCCCCAGAGCCCGGCGGGAGGGGGTCCCTGAGAGTGGGGTCACCCTCAGGGTACTATAGTGCCAGGAAAACAAGTATGTTTTCCTGGCACTATAGTGGTCCTTTAACGGTTCTAATTTTTTAATGTGTCATCAACTCACCACAAATCATGTTTTGAAATCTGGCGTTTTTATTCTTATTAAACAGTAATACTTTTATCAAATATATTTCTCATGAAATTAGAATCAATGTATTCTGCGTAAACAAATAATAACCTGGGGCTAACTGGGTTCTGCAATACAAAATATATTTCATATCGTTTCATCTCTCTCACTATTCCCCATATTGTAACGCTCTCTCACTAGCCCAGAGACAAACTGGCCAGTATCCAGTAGTGTGACTACAAGTCCTATTATATCCAAAACGATCCATTCCAGTAACTTTTGTCCACATAGAAATCTCTCTGTGTCGCTAGTCACCATCACCAGGAGTTTCAGACGAACACTCTATGTAGGACCCTGTACTACTCCTATGTCCAAGTTACCCTGTGCCCATTGTAGGTGCAGGGTGTGTGTAATGTATCTTCTTATTGTTAAATGTTTTGCCTGCTCTCCTGCCCTGCTGATGCTTGCTACCAACTAGGTGCATTTGGCTGTGGAGCATCTATGGCGCCATCTGTTGTTAGCAACAGTTGTGTGCACTACCTGAATAGCAAGACTTCGCAATTCACATATTTAGGTAGATTTGCATATTGCTAATTCTGCAGGCAGGAGAGATATTTTGTGTTAAAGGATCACTATAGGGTCAGGAACACAAACAAATATTCTGGACCCTATATAGTGTTAAAACAACCATCTAGCCCCCCTGGACCTCTCATGCCTCCCTAAATATAGCAAACTATTACTGTATTCAAGCCTGAAGCTGTAACTCTGCATGCTGATAAACTCAAAAAAACAAGCAGTCTGCTGACATCATCAGAAGTGGTAGACTGGTCCAATCACAATGCTTCCCCATAGGATTGGCTGAGACTGACAAAGAGGCAGATCAGGGGCAGAGCCAGCATGCTTCAAACACAGCCCTGGCCAATCAGCATCTCCTCATAGAGATGAACTGAATCAATGAATCTCTATGAGGAAAGTTCAGTGTCTGCATGCAGAGGGAGGAGATACTGAATGTTTGGATGCATTTTAGGCAGCCATGACCCAGGAAGGATCTCTAACAGCCATCTAAGGAGTGGCCAGTGAAGTTATCACTTGGCTGTAATGTAAACACTGCGTTTTCTCTGAAAAGACAGTGCTTACAGCAAAAAGCCTGAAGGTAATGATTCTACTCACCAGAACAAATTCAATAAGCTGTAGTTGTTCTGGTGACTATAGTGTCCCTTTAAATATTATCTTCCCACCCTTTATAAATATGTTGTTATGTTATTATAATTCCCTGTATGTTTTCGGAAATGTTTTGGTTATTTGTATTTAGCTTTATGTAACAAACATATGGGCTACTCCCAAGTAAAATAAAAATATTGTATGTTAGTTCCTTTTGGAACTTGTGTCCTGTGTAGATTTCTAGGGTTCCCAGTAACAGAGTCTTCTGACCCGTTGGCTGGCTACACGATCCCTCTAGCCCTGGAACAAATCAAGAGAGCTAGGCCTGAGATCAGCAAGTACCTTTGTAAAGGCAATAGAAATCACATTACAGGCAGAGGTAGATACCTGCTCGGAAGGAGAGCTGCAGCCTGGTCGGGTGGAAAAGCTCCAGATGGACCCCAATCAAGCTGCCGCGACTAGGGCAGAAGCGCTTTAGGTTTCCCGGTTCCCAACCCAAATGAGGTACCCAATCGGGTACAGGGGACTCCATCACATTCTTCCATGGCTTATCAGTATATTAAGGAAAGTTTACATCATTTTGTGAAAAACTTAAGACAAACACTGACACACAGAAGGACTTACCTGAGTACGGGCACTCTCTGTGCTGCTGGTCTCTTCTTCATCTGTGCTATCTGTGGTTCTACCACCCTCTGAGGATAAGGAATCCCCCTCTAGCTCCTCACATGGGGGCTCCCACCCACTATCCTCTTCTATTTTCTTCTCAGGAGACATTGACCTAGTAGATGGGTCCAGGCAAACACGAAGTTCTAACTGACCCAAAAGGGATCCTGGGCGAGCGACAACCATGGGTTACCACGTCATGCAGTCTGGAGACACAGGAGAGAAATTAAGTTATTAATATTATCAGTACCAGAGCATCAACATGTTCAAAAGCACTTTGCAGTCGGTATACTACACACATAAATAGAAACAAAAAAAGCGAGAAGAATAAATAACAGGGGCTAATACATGCTATATGTTGCATTAATTTAGAGGCAGAGCCATACTATACATCGAATTATTAAAATCGGCTAAACCATGCTACACAATGCTTTAATACAATGGGCTGATCAATGCTGTATAGTCTGAAAACCAATAAAACTAGGTTTTGGCCTCATACAAATGCCATATTTTTTTTCGAATATGCAAATCGTTTTTACATAAAATAAATAAATGGTTTGCAGAATGCTGCACCCTCAGTCTGCCTCCTTAGCCACGCCCCCTCATTCCAGAAAAAAACATTTCCTTATCAGTGTACGTAGACAGCTCAGCCACTGACAGCACTGAATGGTCTGAACTACAAAGCAACCTACATAGGGGACACCCAGGAAAGGCATATTGTAAGGATATCAGTTTCTCTGACTGTCTGCAGCCAGGTTGTGAATTAAAAGCAGCTCACTCAGTGCCGTTAGATGTATGGATCTACTTTTTGCACACAGCTCAAACTCTAATTTGTTGGGTTTTGTTTTTTAGAAAAGGCAGTGTTTACATTGGTGACCAACACCACCTCTATTGGCTGTCACTCTGCCACTAGAGGTACTGGAGCGTTTGCATGCTCTGCACAGAAATGCTTGCCGCTCCCCATAGAAATCCATTGGCTCAATGCATCTCTGCGAATATATGCTGATTGGTCTCAGTGTGGCAAATGACATGCATGCACACTAGCCCCTCAATTCATCTCCATAAGGAAACCTGGATTGGCCCCGATCATCAGTAATGGTGATCTCGCGGCTGCAGCAAGACAGACACAGCGGTGAAATAAAGGTACACAAATAATTTTTCATACTTCTGTGGGAACCAGACATTTAAATAGGTGTTTGTATTCCTGACCCTGTAGTGTCCTTTAATATAGGTATCTGGCTAAGTCAGAAAGCATGTCGGAGAGAGAAAACGCGCGTCGGAGAGAGGGAGAAAGTGAGTGGGAGAGTGTGTGTGTGCGCGAAATACAAAGTACATGATATGGGTATCATTACCTTTTCAAGCTTTGCCAATCCACAACTCGTTAACACTCAAACAACACACAGACACAACCCAGCACTAGCAGCAGCCATACACTCATACATTTGGTGGGATTTTGCTATCTTGGCACATTTATGCAAGAAATGGTTTATTTGTGTTCTCTTGGGTAACGACAGCAGTGATTCAGCAGTCTGCAACAAAATTCCCACGGATGCAAACGGAATTTTCTGTCTTGGCTGGTATCATCGCACTTTACTCAAGAAATCTCTATAGAAAGAAAGGAGGGGAGTCCAGTGTGTATGTGTGTGTGTGTGTGTGTGTGTGTGGTTCCCTCTCACTGCCGCAAAGCTGGGGACTTCCCACTGAGTCGGGTCTTTGCTTTCTCTGGAACTCTGTCTGGACCTATCTGTTCCTCTTTTGGTCTCCATTTCATCAGACATTAATAAATAATATAGAGGGAAAAAAAACACGCAATAGCAGAGTATCATGTTAATGAAATGTAGTGTAGAGCAGGTGTACCTTTAACATAAAGCGGCACTGTCACTGTCTGGGGGTTTTGCATAATTTACCAAGACACCCAACCGGTCTAGTGCTGGAGGGCAAGTTAAGAGGAGTTCTACTTACCTGTTACCTACTTACGTCTACACACTAAGCAAGCACCAGGTCTTAGTTTTACCACTAACTAGCCTAGCCATACATTCTAAAACTGAAATCAATGAAAGGCAGCAACATTCTTTGTAAATTCTAGAATTCCAATACATCGGACTAGAATGGTCAGTTGGTGTCAGTTCTTTCAGACAAGGGAGGTCTCGCTCTTGTTCTTCATGAACAAATATGTTACAGTCAACTAAAAACTTCTAGCATGTTCACAGCAAGGTCCTTTGGGTTTACACATTGAAGGGACCATGAAACCACCCAAAGTTCTTTATCTCAGTGAAGTAGTCTTGGTGCCGTGGTCCTGTTATTTTTACCCCATAATGACAAACACTAACGTTTTTAGGGTTAAACACACCTTTAGTGTCTGTCTTCCAGACAACCACTAGTTTCTCAATGAGACGAGGAAGCCATCCTCCTCAATTATGTAGTGGGAGGCGAAGAGATGCTTCTCTGCACTGAAAAAAGGTAATTAAAAAGTTATGAGTTTTTTTTATCATATTTTTTTTGGTGATTTTACCCGGGAGGTCCTGAATCTAAGGGAAAGGGGCATTAGAGTGGCACACTGAAATCCAAAATTGCACAACAGAGTCTAAAATATCGAGTTGTGCCTGTAGTGGACTTGGAATTTTTTTTAATATTATTATTTTTATTTTTTTTAAGATCACTCTTTTTGTTTAGTTTTGCAATATATATTTTAATTTGTTAGAATTCAAAGTTTAGTGAATAATCCCCATCGCGTTTTATCACTATGATGGAAAAAGAACAATGTATGTTTACGGAGACATTGTGTCAGACTAAACAATGCATTGCATACAATACGCTAACAAGCTGCATCATGAAATATTTAGAATTTACACCCCCCGTGGCTTTGCCTGTGTTTACAGTGGCACAACAGCTGCATAATGAGTACAATTTCACCATCAATGTCAGCATTAAATAAAATTACAATGAGATTAGGTAAGCGACTCTGTTGATATTGCCTGGAGACGTTTTGTTCGTAAGTCACAAAACAGTTTGAGGGTTTTTTACTAAAAACTCTTAATAGCTGACAAATAAAATACAAATGGTTAATTTTAGGGCAAAAACTGTTGATCTGGAACATTCCCATTTTAATTGATTAGCAATTCACTATTTAGTAAATAGACTTCAAATGGTGGAGAGCTTACCTCCTGCAGCTAATTTCAGGTTATTCGCTAACTAAAATTGTAGCAAATGTTGCCTAAATGTGGTCATTGAAATTTTACATTTTCTACAATTGTTTAGTGAATAATCTCAAATGAGTGTGAAATGTGGCAAAAAAAACTTTGAACCCATTTTAATAATTAAAAATTTGATCAGAGCCTAAGGATTTGCATTAAAAGTAGAAAGTTTTAAGACATTGGGTCACTGCAGAAAAGTGTGATGGAGACATTTACACATTTGCATATACAACACAGCATTCTGGGAGACCTATGGAAATGCTGACTTTCCAAACTGGTGTATAAGAGGCAGATAATTCAGGAAGTGGTAATGGGTCTGAAAATGATTTAATTCTAAGCTAGGGGGATGTCACCAGGGGACTCGTGGCACTTATAAGTAGAATGCTGTAGCATTTATGGTGCTTAGATAGCCCCTTTAATCCATTAAGGACACAACTTCTGGAATAAAAGGGAATCATGCCGGAATATTTCCGTCATGTGTCCTTAAGGGGTTAAAGACTCAAAATATGGGAGTAATCTGGAGATTTACAACTCTCTGTAGTGGTTATGGTTCCAAGACTGACGTTTTTGACGGCACCTAGGGTCCGCCGTTACTTTGGCCGGTGAGCCAAAAGTTCCTAGATAGAAAGGCTAAAAGAAGTAACTGCATAGGGATTTCTGGCTCTTTTATAAATTGCTTTTTCTGAGAAGGAATAGTTTTCTCATTGTGCTCTGTGCTGACTCCAGTGCTGTAATGCAATAAGCCAGTAAATCTCTCCATAGGATCCCAGCCGCGCAGTCATAAAAACAGCATTATTTATTTTAAACCTTACTGCTCCGGAAACGCCTGTGTATGCTGCCTGTTTAATGAGCACTTAATGATGCGTTGCCTTCGCTTTAAAGAAATGTTATACATCATTATTACTAAATGGCATTGGAGACGTGGGTAGCATATTGGGGGGGGAGGGGGAAAGATAGTAAATAGCGCATTACCAAAGCAGACAGCATTTTTTAATAGCTTGTGACATTGAATATGCAAGCTGTAGGAGCACAAGTTACATCCAAGGGAGCTCTAACTACTAATTTTACAAGCACTCTAAACACCTTATAAAATATAAAGCATTATGTCTGTCACGCTCCAAGCACTTGCCACTGGTTGGCTAATCACTATATATAAGGGGGGGCATTTGGAAATTTGAGAAAAAAAAAAAGCTTGGCAATGGATAGCATAAATTTTATTTCGAGTATCGCCTTTAAAAAGCAGCAGTGTTCTAATTATGCTACATTCATATGATCTCAGAGTCATTAAACCACCAAAAAAAAAGGCACTTCTAATGTAATGTTATGATTAAGGGGTTGTAGGGTTGTTGTAACTTAGGGTGCTTGGCATCAGTGTTAAGGGGGACATGACTGACATAGCAAGTTCTCAGTCATCTACATGGAGATACCAGTGCATGAAGGTACCATGGGCACGACTCAAATCTCGCGCTCTGAATCCTGAGGATGAGATTTAAAAATGATCCTCTACTTTTGTGGACAAATATATAACATTTTCAAATTTAATGGCATTGCATGAAAAGTGCTGGTCTGTAGTATGTAGCAGTCAGATGCTGTGCAAATAAAAACAAACTTATCAAGACAGTTCCTGTCTGGCAATACTTTTCGTAGAAATGTTGTGTGACCCGGAGAACATGATCATACTGGCAACCCCAAGTAATGCAAGGGTTTTGGTATTTTTTTGTTTTTTTTAATGAAATACATTAGAAACATGTTTTAGCCAAAATTCCTCTTTAAGAGAATTCTACACAGCAATAAAGATTTTATCAACAGACATTGAAGTAATGTGAGGCCTGGCAAGTCAGGGTGGCTAGAAGCGTTGACAGCGATAAGAAGCTTGTGCAACAAGGCGGAATCTCGTTAACTTGTGCACAAAAACAACCACACGTTGATTTACTTCCAGAACCAATGAGACTTCAATAGTGCAACTTCACTGTCAGCAATGACGGAATTAAAAATGAGCTGGAAACTAATAAACGTCTCCCGTGTCTGAGGCTGGGAGTGAGAGGCATTGTTTGTTCTCACTTTGGGTGGAACAGGTATACATTTTCTGGGTCAAACAATGCTATTATTTAATTCTGCGCCTGCCCCAACCTGTGCCTGTCCTCACAGCTGCGCATTTGCTATAGAAAAGTACAAAATCTAGAATGTAAGCTCCTTTGAGCAGGGCCCTCAACACAATCTGTTCCTGTGCATCTAGCTTGCCTTTTTCCAAACACATGTCTGTTAGTCCACCTATTGTACAGCGCTATGGAATTTGTTGGCTCCTTATACATGATAAAATGCATGCACATACAGTCAAACAGCAACTTGCAAGAATGGGACAGGCATGATTACTTCATTCTAGGGCAGAAACCTCCAAGATTGGCCATTCCAGCTCTGGTTGACTGTTTCCCATAATGCTCAGCTGGTTTAATGGCCAACGTTAGCCAGCACTGATCTAGCGTGGCCACATGTCACAGGATGCTCAGTCAGTATCATGGCCACAGTCAGCCAGCACTGATTTGGAGTAGTCATGTGTCCTCAATGAAATTTAGGGAGAGTTAGTAAAATTTAACAAGGGGTTGATATAGCGGCAGGAGACATCTGGATTTTTAGCACTTGTAAACTAACCATATCCTTATAGAAACACTGTCACTTTTCACGTGCCGGCATTTTTTGCAACGACCTCGTAACAGGTGAAACATCTGCTAGATTATCTCCAATCCCTGGCCTATGAAGCTGGTAGGAGACATATCAACGTTCTACTCTCACGCATGCAGAAGAAAGTGAAACGTAGACGTGTGAAAGTCAAATTCCTAAATAAAGAGCAAAGCTTTATTTTATCTGGTTAGACTTTAAGGTGTCACAATCCTTTGCACCAGGCCTAGATCACGTACCAGCATTGGCAGTAAATATTTTTCTGCTTGTGTCTCTTAATCACTTTATGCAGGTTATTACATACTATTAAGAAGGCTGTCAAATATTAGGCCCTTTTTGTTACCAGTTACTGTTTACCTTGCAATCAAAATGTATTTGTTTTAGATGAATCAATACGCTCGGTGACTTTATCCCTAATGTGAATTTTGTACGGTGTATTGGCCTACTCCAGATTCATTGTCAACGCTGTGATACAGTATTACACCCGAGTTCCAAAATAAAGATTTGAAAAAAAAAAAGGGAAGACCATAGAGACCATGGCCCTCAACTGACATATATTCTTTCTATAGTACAGCACTGATTTTAAGCAAAATTGGAAGCTCACTAATATTAAAGCTTTCTTTTCTCGCTAGTTTTGAAAACCATGATCAGCCATTTGATGTTCTCCCCTCCGCCGCACTGCAGGTTGGGGGCATATTGGAAATTTTAAGCCTCCCTAAAGTTAGACGATAGCCATATTGACCCTCTTAGGTTTTATTTACATTTCTTTTAAACGTTTTAATGTGGCGGGTGACTAGCAAGACTAGCCAGCTGCACATAACTATTCTTTTATTTTATTTTTTACTCTTTGCCCACTGACTGCTAGTGCCAACTAGAAGGAATTCAGACGTTTAAAATCTAGGTTCGGATTTCGGCAACAGTTGGATTGGTGGATTTTCACATTTGCACTGCAGGTAACCAATTCGGGTTTCTGTGAGCTGCACTGGATTAGACTAGGATCGTAAGCAATGCTGATCTCAAAAGAGGGGGAGCAGCTACAACAAGGAGACTGTCCAGGACATCAAACTTTAAGGGTGTAAATTTTATTTATTTTTTTAAATATGGTGTTCCTTTAATTCTGCTTGTTGCATTTCATCTAACGTCTAGATCTTAAAGGGATAGTGTTAGGAATACAAATTTGTATCGTAGCACTATAGTGCCCTCTGGTTCCCCCTCCCTTGCGCCCCCCTCTAGCTCATAAAAGGTTAAAAACATTTTATTCACTTACCCGATTCCAGTGCCGATGTGTGTCGGCGCTGGGTCTCCGATCCGCTTCCTCGGACGTCGGACAGGGGGGACCTACTGCACATGTGTGATGATTGCTGCATGTGCATTAGGTCCTCCCTATAGGAAAGCATTGAATCAATGCATTCCTATGAGGAGTTCACAGACTCTGGATGTCCTCATGCGGAGCGTGAGGACGCCAAGCGTCCCTTTGGTGACAGTCCGGTAAGATCTCGGGAGAGACTTTAGTGGCTGTCTGGTGGACAGCCACTAGAGGTGGTCTTCGTACTGCAATGTAAACATTGCAGATTCTCTAAAACTGCTATGTTTTACATTGCAGGACTAAGTGTGACAGAGGTACACTGCAGCCAGACCACTTCAATGAGCTGAAGTGGTTTGGGTGCCTATATTGCGTCCCTTTAAAGAAGTTACCACAAATGCATCAAATATCAGCTGTACGTACGGCTCATGTAAAAACTAATTCATAAAACTTTGCTAATCACTCCTGTTCTATACGCTGTACAAAAAAAGATATATATTTCCCCCCAAAACTTCCGCTTTTGTCTCTTAGGGACAAAAATGTCATGTTGCAACAGATTCTGCCTAACCCCTTGACATAAAGGATTAAAGGGACACTCCAGGCACCAAGACCACTTCTGCCCATTGGAGTGGTCTGGTTGCCAACTCCCACTACTCTTAACCCTGCAAGTGTAATTATTTTATTTTTATATAAAACTGCAATAATTACCTTGCAGGGTTAACTCTACCTCTTGTGGCTGTCTACTTGGACATTGTAAATAATAACAAATTAAAAATAATAGGGTTTTTTTTTGTCTTGTTTTTAAACTCAATGGATGGACAGAAATGCTGAGGAGGGGAGGGGGGCTAACTTGAAATGTTTTGCAGATCCCCAGCTAATATTAACAGAGGCCCAAATGGGGGTAGAAGCACTAACCCTAATACATTCCAGGTTCCAGACAGAAAGCCATTCAGTAAACATGTCCGTCTCACTTACCATCAAGACCTGTCTGACCCCCACAATGGTGCCTTATAAATTAAAGGTCAACCACTTTAATCAAGAAGCCAGGGTTTAAACAGAAACACAAACACAGAGACATTTATATGTATTTATTTAATTTACTTTTTTTTGTACCTTGTGTTTTCACCAGATGTTTTCTGTTAATCAACAACATTTTATGAACATAAAAATGACTAGACCCCCCGGCCATCTGGGATATAGGTTTTAATGTCGCCTTGTAGATCTGTAAAGTGATAGTCATGCCCCCTAAAGCTTCAGCCCGCCATCTTAGCACATGCTAGGTCTATTGATCAGGCACCAAGCATGTAGTGTTTAGGATGAGAAGAGGGTGAAAGTGGCCACCTGGCTGATGTATGAGTCAAGGGGCAATGCATTCCTTATTTTATTTACCCGCTTGTGAATACCGGGTAAGTGACCCTAATAAGTGCAGCATTAGACTCTGGATCTGTGCCAACTGTAAGGAATTCAATTCATATGAGAACATTCATATGCAGGAGAACCCCAAGAGGAGCTGGCCAGCATTGTGGCCTGTCCGTCAGGTGAGCATTCACATCAGCCCCCTCTTACAGGTGAGACTGTCTACATTCACATCTTTAAAACGTCCCCATCTGGTCTGCTCATCTCCCAGTCTTGCTGTCATCTCTGCATGTTATACTATCTAAAATAATGAAAATCCAACACCTCGAAATAGGAAAGTTACGAAAAAAAAAGGACTGATCATATTGGCTTCCTGCGAGGGACACTTGGGTGATATGTCCTCAGCACTAGCAAACAACGCGTGAAGCCACAGATATGGAAAGCAAAAAAAAGTGTGTTTATTTTTAAACGCTTGGTTCCTGCTCCTGTCAAACACTGATAAAAGGATGATGTATTTAAAAATAAATAAACCATTACTTCTTTCTGTCCCCCTCCCGATTTAGGACAGTAACTATGGTTCTATTAGTAAATATCCCTGGGAAATCCACAGAACTTTCAATTCTATCTATTTTAAAAAAAAAGTTAAATTCCCCTTAACTGGAAGCTATAAACAGATATAGGATTATATTTTAAACATTAACAAGTTGTTATTATTTTAAATCACCAACATAGTGCATAACGCTGTGCACTGGGTTTGGTCAGTAAGCCTCACTATGAGAAGTCAATACGATATTTCTTTAGTAACTATTTGCAAATTAAATTAATGTTTTGTCCCTGATACAAACATGCTAAGCATCACCTGTCTGCATTACCGGTTTGTTTTATGTTAACATAGTTACGCAACATTTGGGTACTGCTAGCGCTCCCTTGCATGCCTTCGCCTGTCAGTGCAAAATATCATATTATTCAGAGGCTTATGGCACACATGCGTGGCTAATCAGGAGCTGTGCCAATCTGGGAGAGATTGGTTGTTGCTCAGGTGTGAACTAGCCCGATTGTGTTGTAAAAACTGAATTATATAATTATTGTAAGAATCAAAAGTTTCCACTCACCACAACCCATTGGCATGTGAAAATTCCACCATGGCGAGTAGATATTCAGACATGGTGAGTGTGCTATGGACTCTCCAAGCTTGCAATGGCTAGTATGTTTTAGGGACTGGCTAGTATCGCAAGACTTGAAATTTTTAATCGAAAATAGTTTATTATTTATTTAATCATAAGTATCACTGTCAGTTTGTATACATTGCTTAAGAGGACTTCCATTTCCAGTGCCCCTCTAAAGTCATACTCAATAACAGACGTACCCAACATCAAGTTGATAATTAGGTTTTGCTATTTTGTTTTACAGAATCCAGTCAGGGATCCAAAATGGATGAGCAGAGGTCACGGCCTCCAAGCAGCTGCCATGTTTGACACTGGCATCATGTCATAGACCTCAACTGATCTGCAACTATTGTCCATTAGACAATCACACGTTGACCAACACAGCTATAAAACCATGTGTTTTACGTGAAGTGACAGCTTGACACATGCAAAACATGCAAGCTCCGACAATCCTTTCAACCTCAATGTGTCACTAAAGGCTGGGCATGGGTTAGCCCCATCACACACTGACCTCCCTGACTATAAAAGGCAGAGGTGTGATAATATTACATAAAGACACGGGTGTGATACCATATTTTAGACAGCTGTCATGAATCCCTATTACACCACCCAAACATAAATTTCAGAACAAATTTATAAATAGTAACCGATCAACAACATTAAGGAAAAAAATAGCAGGTTTGAAGAAATTCTGCAATTCTTGTCTATTTTAGCCTGAGTTTTTCAATCCACTACAAATTTGATGTTCAGTGATTAAATCCCTAATTGTACATTTAATGGTTGAATTCTGTAATTTTATTAAATCACCCCTTTTCCAGTGAAGTGTTTTTGTTTTTTGTCTGTGCTCTATAATGTACTCTAAAATGGAGGCTCTGTGTGAACGTGAGGGACAGTCTGTGTGCGCTGTGATATCTCTCCTTTATACACACAAAGCGAACATTTCAAGGTCCTTTTAACTTCTATGAATAGCCGAGGTCAACTTTGCTGAAGTTTACTCTGTGCTTTCTGTAAATTCACTATATTGTAAACAGTTCTGACTGCTCACGTTTCATTTAAAGGCACGATGAACTATGAAAATTGTACATGGCAGAAAGGATTTTTTTTTTATAAAAACAGACAACTTAATTACAGTACTGATTTTCATTCATTGTGATTTATTTCCAGAGTTCCCGATTGCGATGGTTTTATGAGGAGAAACCTGTCAAATATGTGCTCGGTTTAATGAGCAACGTTGTAATGGTGGCGCATTCAGCTGAGTGTGGTGTTCTCGTGCCATTTTAAGTGTTGCGCTTAGGGTTAGATGGTGCTTAGAACTGGACTAAAATGTGAATTTCTTAAGGGAATATCTGCACTGAAAAATTTTGTAGGCCAGGTGTAGGCAACCTTTGGCATTGCAGATCTTGTAGACTAGATATCACATGAAGCTTTGCCAGCTTAGAGTATTATGGGAGTGCGGACTGTTACCTACAGCTGCTGTAAACTGTCAGTTCCCTTATTCACAAGCAATTTATGCGTGGTTGAGGGTGCAGCGAGATACAGTCTGCTGACGGGTCTATGAAGGTTAGGGGTACACAATGTATCACCCATTGATCTAAGGATACATACAGGCGCATGTTTGAGGTTGTGTGAAAATCCCATTGAGTGCTTTATGTGATATGCAGAAAGCCCTTAGGTAATTTTTACAGTTGGATACATTATACACATACATGTTCCCCAAACACAAGCTGGCAAGAGAATCATGGGGATTCCACAACAGAGAGAGTAATATGAAACTGAAAGGGGTACCCTGGAGGGGAATTCAGTCACTGGCTAACGTTGGCTAGCAGTTCGGGCCATTATGGAGCTGGGATTCTGAGGTTCAAAGGCAGGCAACATCATTAATTAAAGATGGGGACAGTTTCAACAAAAATCCTGGCCTTATAATTACTGTATTTTTGTTCAAAGGCAAGGGGAAGATTTTAATTACAAAGAGAGGGTTTTCAGATGAGGTTTATTTATTCTGGAAAGCCGCACCATGTGAGGGGATATGGTTTCCATATAACTGTAAACTGAAAATCAAAGGAAAGTCCTTACAGTGGTTTCTGTATTAATAGAACTTCGCAGAATGCACAGGGACATGTATGGTAAAGGGACATTCTGAGCACTGTTCATAATCACCTCACATTATTGTTAAATGACTGGTACAAGTATAGAGAAATCATATGACATAAGCTCACCGCGCAGCTTTATTCACAAAAAAAGCGCCCGATACTATTAACTTGCTGGGCAGTTTCATTCACAGTTTTTCATGAATGAAGCTACTCAAGACATCCAAACAACATATCCTAAAAACAACACCTGCTATGTAGGCTATGCATAGTGACCCCCTAGAATAAAATGTGATAACCAGGATTGGCTGCGAAAATTCAGCCACTTCCTAATCTCTGCAGACCATTGAATTTACATAAAACACACTGAATTTTCTGAGGCGAGAATCTTTTCATTAGATATATTGTATCTATATTATGTTTATGGGATATTGAATAAATGGACAAACATTCAGTCTCTTATGCAAGTCATATGCTTAATGTATTTTCTATTCCTCCTGAGATCCTTTTAAATAATGTATCCTTAAGGCTGATTTATGAGACAAATGGCTATACTACACTATTTTATTTGAATTGTTTCCAAACCTCTGGAAGTATCAATCATTTTTAAAATTTAAACTTCCCTGAGGAATTTGATTCCAGGGAACATACTATAAACAACCAGCGAATTTTGCGTCTAGCAAAGCATCATAGGGTGTTTGGGGATCTACATTTGGCTTCCTGCGGTGATAGCAAAACTCTATTTGTAAAAGCCAAGGTTTTCACCAGAACGTTTTAACCCATCTCATCTGCTTGGAGTGATGGTGATTGAATTGTGTGGATTCACATACAGATACACAACAGCGATATATCACTGGAATAACCGCTTGCTGCACGCCCTTTGCCCTGATTGCCACAATGCTTCAAATTCCAGAATAATAATAACAACATTTCCCAGAAACATGAAAATCCCCAAGCATCTTAATACTTTATCATGCTACGACAGGAGATTATCCCAGGTGTCACATATATTCTAAGGGTAGTCTGTCTGTCATGTTCACCTGTGTAGGAAGTCTTTCCAGACCTTGCTTTAGCCAGCGGTAAATCTTCTATTTTTATTACACTATGTGAAGTGTAAAATAAGCACAGAAAAGGGGGATTGCAGCACCATTTCGATATCAGCATATTTCTAGCTCACTAAAGAGTTACTCCAAGTACCATGACCACTTCAGTGATTTCAATTGGTTACGGTGCCTGAAGTCTGTATTTGCTGGGTTTCTCTGTTAAACCCTGCACATGATGGGTTTAACCCATTGGCTGCCGGAGGTGTGCACAATGTGCCGTTTATTGGCTGATGCTCTCAACCAGTGAGTGGTGGCTGGATCAGCACCCAGGACTCGGAGGAGAGAGAGCATCGGAGCAGAGGAAGGGACCCCACAGTTTGACGCATTACTGAGGTACCAGGCCACATTACTCCGGGCATCGGAGTCACTTCAGCGGGCTTTACTGGTTATGATTTCAATGATCCCTAAGGTGTCTGGAGTTTACCCTGAAATCATACATTTAAGACAAAAATAGCAAAATTGGAAACACTCGCATTGGAGAAATTTTCCATTTAGACTGTTTTGGCTTGAAATTTCTAGTTCTGTGGTAATTATCAACTAATTAAGAGTTTTGTTAATAATGGCAAACGTCTCATGTCCCAGTTTAAACAGAGGTTATACAAAGTTATTTACTAAAGTAAGAATTCCAAGTTCATAACAGTCAAACTGTAAAAAAATTCCAGGTCATTTATTTACTCTTAACCCAGCTAAATAACTCGCCGTGGATTGGCTAGTTTTCTGGGATGGGCCGTGAGAGAGCTAGGAGGCGGGCATTCAGAGTTAGTGTGTTTGTACTGGCTAGTTATCTGGGATGAGCCGTGAAAGAGCTAGGAGGCGGGCATTCAGTGTTAGTATGTTTAGATTGGCTAGTTATCTGGGATGGGCCGTGACAGAACTAGGAGGCGGGCATTCATAGTTAGTGTGTTTGGATTGGCTTGTTATCTGGGATGAGCCGTGACAGAGCTAGGAGGCGGGCATTCAGTGTCAGTGTGTTTGGACTGGCTAGTTATCTGGGATGGGCCGTGACAGAACTAGGAGGCGGGCATTCAGAGTTAGTGTGTTTGAATTGGCTAGTTATCTGGGATGAGCCGTGAAAGAGCTAGGAGGCGGGCATTCAGTGTTAGTGTGTTTGGATTGGCTAGTTATCTGGGATGGGCCGTGAGAGAGCTAGGAGGCGGGCATTCAGAGTTAGTGTGTTTGAATTGGCTAGTTATCTGGGATGAGCCGTGAAAGAGCTAGGAGGCGGGCATTCAGTGTTAGTGTGTTTGGATTGGCTAGTTATCTGGGATGGGCCGTGACAGAGCTAGGAGGCGGGCATTCATAGTTAGTGTGTTTGGATTGGCTAGTTATCTGGGATGGGCCGTGACAGAACTAGGAGGCTGGCGTTCATAGTTAGTTTGTTTGGATTGGCTAGTTTTTTGAGATGGGCTGTGACAGAGCTAGGAGGCGGGCATTCAGAGTTAGTGTGTTTGGATTGGCTAGTTATCTGGGATGGCCCGTGACAGAACTAGGAGGCAGGCATTCATAGTTAGTGTGTTTGGATTGGCTAGTTATCTGGGATCGGCCGTGAGAGAGCTAAGAGGCGGGCATTCAGTGTTAGTGTGTTTGGATTGGCTAGTTATCTGAGATGAGCCGTGACAGAGCTAGGAGGCGGGCATTCAGTGTCAGTGTGTTTGGATTGGCTAGTTATCTGGGATGGGCCGTGACAGAGCTAGGAGGCGGGCATTCAGAGTTAGTGTGTTTGGATTGGCTAGTTATCTGGGATGAGCCGTGACAGAGCTAGGAGGCGGGCATTCAGTGTTAGTGTGTTTGGATTGGCTAGTTATCTGGGATGGGCCGTGACAGAGCTAGGAGGCGGGCATTCAGAGTTAGTGTGTTTGGATTGGCTAGTTATCCGGGATGAGCCGTGACAGAGCTAGGAGGCGGGCATTCAGTGTTAGTGTGTTTGGATTGGCTAGTTATCTGGGATGGGCCGTGACAGAGCTAGGAGGCAGGCATTCAGTGTTAGTGTGTTTGGATTGGCTAGTTATCTGGGATGAGACGTGACAGAGCTAGGAGGCGGGCATTCAGAGTTAGTGTGTTTGGATTGGCTAGTTATCTGGGATGGGCCGTGACAGAGCTAGGAGGCGGGCATTCAGTGTTAGTGTGTTTGGATTGGCTAGTTATCTGGGATGGGCTGTGACAGAGCTAGGAGGCGGAGCATGCAGAGTTAGTGTGTTTGGATTGGCTAGTTATCTGGGATGGGCCGTGAGAGAGCTAGGAGGCGAGCATTCAGAGTTAGTGTGTTTGGATTGGCTAGTTATCTGGGATGGGCCGTGACAGAGCTAGGAGGCGGGCATTCATAGTTAGTGTGTTTGGATTGGCTAGTTATCTGCGATGGACCGTGACAGAGCTAGGAGGCGGGCATTCAGAGTTAGTGTGTTTGGATTGGCTAGTTATCTGGGATGGGCCGTGACAGAGCTAGGAGGCGGGCATTCATAGTTAGTGTGTTTGGATTGGCTAGTTATCTGGGAT